CTCCGTCAAACGGGCTCTCCAACCCATCCAATCCATCCTCTATCCACGCTTTCCGACTTGCCCATGTGCCGCAACCACAACATGCAGCCATTCCTTGCAGTTCTACGGGTTCGCATGTGCCATGCATGGGCGCGCGCCTTCTATGCAGCTTCCCCCCTCATCAAGCCAGCGAGTAACGCGCCTCAGATCCGAAAACGTGCACCTCTTAGATAGATAGGCCCCTTTCAGAAATGCGGCGTCGGGTAAGAAAAAGCCGGCATCTGCGTGGGCGCACGCCTTCTGGTTGGCTCGTGGAAACGTGGCGGATCTCGAAAGCCAGGGGCTGCAACTCAATGCAATTTGATCTACTACATAGATAGATAGTACTAATATCTATCAGTATGTAGGCATGGAACCGTAGCCGAGATCCAATAAGCCGTGCTCATGGGGATGCGTGCATGGCACCCCGTCGGCGCTTCGTTTCGTATCGAGGCCCGAGTTGCTGTAATAAGCGAACCATCATATTCCATCTCCATCTCCATATAAACAGACAACACCACCAACGATACCATCACCATTACCACCACCCCCCATCTGCATCTCCTTTTTCGTCCTGCTGCTTCGAATGTGGTCTGATCTGGACCCCCCCAAATCCCCCTCTTATCATCACTACGTAGCTTCCAGCATCTTCGCAGCCTCCATCCGTCTCCGCCGTCTTTTGCCCGTCTTGGTTTCTTGGCCATGCACAGAGTCTCCCTGTTGACGTCATCTCGGCTCGAGCCCACCGGCGGCTTCCGGCCCCACTCGACCACCGTCCATGTCGTCGCCCTTGGAAGAAGAGCTGGAAGCCTCTTCTTAAGCAGCCTCTGTGCGCTTCTTCCTCCCCTTGAATACCTCCATATCAAGGCCCGCTTCATCTCGCAGCCGTCCTCGTTCTTCGTCTACAGTCATTACTGTCTGCAAGTCTACGAGTACACCGTCTCTGTGCCTGTGCACGTCGTCTACAATAACATCATCTCGCGTGCCCTGCTCGTCACCGCCTCGTCCCGTGCCGGCAAACAGCAGCAGCAGCAGCATCATCTCCTTTCTCATGCCTTATTGTTCGCCTCGCAACAGCTCCTCACGCACGGATCCGCCATGTTTGCAAAGACGGTAGTCGACTTCTGGCAGTCCAGGAGGATCCAGAAGATCCGCGCCAAGCTCTTTTACGAATTCGCAGTCTTCATCCTCGGCTGCGGCAACGCCTTCTTCCTCCTCGTCTTCTGGCCGGGCTGGCTGTTCCTCGGCGCTGCCGCCCTTGCCCTGCGGCAACTCGCCGGCTGATGGACTGATTCACGCAGCAAACGGCTGATTGACTGATCCACGCATCAAACGGCTGATTGACAAAACGCTTTCTGCGACATGTCATCAAGAGGGAGACCGCCTCCAGCTCCCCAACAACCATCAGCGACAAAGGGCCGGTTCTCGGTTACTCGACTCTCCATCGTGAGCCCTCCACATCATCATTGACTTCTACACTATCCGATTTTCTTCTTCCTCACTTTGAGGAGAAGAAAAAGGTGTTGCCGCCATTGTCTTTCCGAATCTGCGTCGAGTAATCCATCTCCGGATCAAACTCCTGCCACGTGCTCGCCGGATAGATGTGCTTGTGCCTCTCATACCACCTCCGATCCACCACCTTTGTCAGAGTCGGGTCCTCGTTGTACCCTTCCAGCGTGGAGATGTCGGGCTGTCGCGCCTTGGCCGCTGCCGCCTTCTCGGCCGGAGTCACCAAGACACCACCGCCACCGCTTGTACCCTCCGAGTCGTCGGTTGAGCTTGGTCGGATCGGCGCTTCGGCGCTGTAGTCAAAGAGGCGCTTACCGCCGGGCCCGGTGGTCTTGTTGACGATGAAATAATAGAAGTCGTAATGCTGGTACCGGTATCAGCATGTCTGCATACGAAAAGCGATAGATGGGGAGTACAATGGCTGCATAGAAGGAAACCATGGAAAGAGGGGCATAGAAATAGAGTGGTGGATGAAATCAATCGTATCAGCGGATGGATAGATAGACAAAGAACTCACATGAGGAATAATGACAGTCCCTCTCACCAGCATCAAGTCGTCCACGCCTGCTCGTGCCCATGCTCTCTGTGCATTTGTCTGCTCTCCAACGCCCAGCTCCGCGCCCACCTTGCGGCCCTTGTCCAGAAACACCCAGACAAAGTCGCCCTTCTTCATGCGCACCGTCCCGCCGGGGATGTTGGCGCCGTCGTAAAAGACAAACGGGATCGCAATCTCGGTGGCCTTGACGGCCTCTTGCAAGGCAACGAATTCCCGCCGCAGCGCCTCTCGCTCCGCAGCCTCTTTGCGCAGCGCCGCCTTGGTCACAGCCTTGGGGATCACACCCACCGCCGCATTGGCCTTGATCTTGGCCTTTTTCTCGCCGCCCGATTGCTGCTGTCCATCCTTGTCGCTCGAGGGCTCCGTCGTCGAAGCAGCAGCGCTCGCGCTCCCGGTTTCGGACTCGTCCTCTTCTTCCTCATCGTCGCCAAAGGACAAGAGCTTCTTGCCGGGGTTCTGCTTCGCCTTGTTCTTCGTAGGCTTCTTCTTCTTCTTCTTCAGCGGCCCCGGGCCAGCGGCGCTGCCGGCGGATTCACTGCCAGCGTTGTCAGGAGTGCCAGTCTGCGAGCGGTCCGGTTTTGATGACGTGCCTGAGAGCGCGGCCTCGCGGGCCTCGCGCTCCTGCTGCTCGAGGACCTCGGCGCGCCGCTTGCGGAAGTCGGAGAGCGCGACGAGGCCGACCGTGTGCGTTGACAGCCGCTCGTTTGTCGTCTTGTTCTGGGGCGTGAAGCGCGAGGCTTGCTGGTTCGACATGGCGGGCGGGGGTTTTTTTGTTGATGGACTGGGAGGATGGGGGAGAGTTGAGGCAATGCTTGGAGTTGCGCTACTTGGGCGGCTGCTGCTTCTTATCGGCATCTGCTGCCTGATAAATACAGTGCGATTAGTGTACGGAACCACACTATGCTCAGTGTGCTCATCTTGAGACCCTATCCTATGTAGATCTCACTGAGGATGCTGTTTTGCAAGGCAAATGAGACTCAATCTTCGCATATTGAAACCGATAATAATTCGGAATATCTACCTTTCGTCTACGGAAGCTTGCCGCCCTTCCTCGTCGCCTGTCCCACCTGCGAATTCGTCGTGTCCTCGGCGTATCGCTTGTACACCTCGATATACTTCTCGTCCTCGCTCCAGGTATCCTTCACACTCGCCCGGCCCTCAACCGCCCTCATCCACGAGCCCCATCTCGTCCACACGCCATCCTCATCGCCGTGCTTTGGTATCTGAAGCCCACCAGGCTTATAGTGATCCAGCAGAAACAGCCGCTTCGCCCAAGGCGCCAAGCTTATGTCCACCAAGCTGATGTCCCTCCCCAAGAACCACGGACCGGCAGGGTCCATCTCCGCCACCAGAACCTTGATGTGCTTGTGAATCTCGTCGCGCGCCTCGTCGATGGAATAGCCCTTGTCCGGCGTGTGCTGCAGAAACTTGTAAAACGCCGGAATGATGCGCGTGTTGATGTGGTCTATCCACAGCCGGGCCCTGGCCTTCTGATACGGATCCGACGGCAGCAGGCGAGGGCCGTGCTCCGACTCGGCCGCGTACGCCTCGTCGAGATACTCCATGATGATGGAGCTCTCGAAGAGCGGCTTCTGCTGCGTTCCCGCGGCGTCGACGGGCACGCCGAGGGTGGGCACGAGGCCGCGCGGGTTCAGCTTGAGGAACTCTGGCTCCTTCTTGTAGGGGTTGATTTCGATGTACTGGTACGGGATCTTCTTCTCCTCCAGTGTGATCCAGGCTCGCTGGACAAAGGGGCAGAACCAGCCTCCGTACAGCTTGAGCGGCTGCTCGTCTGCATGGCGAGCTGCCAGCTGAGCAGCGGCGCCGCTGGGTGCGGAGTGGATGGAGGTGTCGACGTTGGACATTTCGTGATGCGTTCTGATCAGTTTTTCTTGGCTGTAGTTGATATGACGATGTGTGAGACGCTGGTGATATCTATAAGAGGAGCAAGCAGGATGAGCAAGCGATTTGGAATCAGATCTGTCGTTGGTAAGAGGTCAGGGTCCAATGACGTTATTCGCTTGCGCCCCGCGTGACGACAACTCCGACTTCAGCCTCTTACATACATATCATGAATGCAACCCTCAAGCTCTGATGACTAGAAGGGGCAGTTAATCTACGTGTACATCCCGATTTACCGACATCATGGAGCTTGGGTTACATTCGAAGCATTGACATCCGATCTGGAGATGCTGATTGCTTTCTTCGGCCTAGGCCTCTCAGCGCTACAATCCCACAGTGGTGCTTCGACATCCGTCACATCGTGCATAGCCTTTTGCTCAGGACTGCTATGGAGAACCGTATTCTGTCTCCCCGATTCATTCTTGCTTCTTCTCTTTTCTTTTCACGGCGATTTTCTAATCATATGGACCGTAGATGCGAGATCATCACCAGAGTTGCGACCGCGGCGTTTCCTAACGGATCCAGTTATGACATCCCCCCTTAGCATGGAGCCAATGAGAGACGTCCATCTGCCACTCCCGAGACCTCATATCTTCATATTGCTCTATGAAACTCCCTGCATAATGAAGTCTCAGTGTTCCATCCTACCATTACTGCTACTACAGATTGAAAACCTCACCCATAGTCAACTCGAGACATTTGATGGCCTCCCGCATGGGCGGCCCACAGCCCCATGTCCAGTCCTCGAGTGAATGTGGTCGAGCCGTTTGCTCGGAGTCCTCCAGCCATTGGATAAGAGCCTTTGTTTACTTTCCCTCGATACAGCTTCAAATTCTCTTGTTCTTGAGTTTACCCTTTAACCTTGACTTACTGCTCTCATCACTGAAGCTTGCAAGCCTCTCGCTCTTGTGCATATGAAAATGAGCTCTCCATGTTCAGCATCGGGCAGCTGCTCCGTGTCAGTTTCCTCAGCATCGGCCAGCAGCTCGCCCTCCTCCGGCAAAGCATCCAGCAAAGAGTCGATTCTCGCCGCTCATCTGGCTCTCCTGAGCCTCGACGGCACAAACGAAGACGCAGAGGAGCTGGCTGCCACTCCCATCTTCACCCAAGCAGTTCTTGACTACGGAGCGGAGCTCAAGGCCAACGGCAAAGCAGAGCCGTTTGCCCAGTACGGCCTCCTCGCAGGCATCCTCGAAGAGAGCGATGCTGCTACCATCAAGAAAACCCCTTCAGCTCACGCCGAGAAAGACGTCCGTTTGTTCTTCAACACGACGGCCCCCTCTAGCGTCTTCATATGTGGCAGTCAGGGGTCTGGCAAAAGCCATTCTCTGAGCTGTCTGCTGGAGAACTTCCTGACACAGTCCAAGGCAAATGTCTTGCCTCGCCCTTTGACAGGCATCGTATTCCATTACGATCCGTTTGGTGGCTCGCCCTGCGAGGCGGCCTATCTGGCTTCAGCCAAGGACATCTCGGTGAGGGTTCTTTGTGCCCCTACCAATATCCGAGATATCAAGGTATGTGGCAAACGCCCAGCATAACTTGACCGAACAGTCATACTTAGACACATTCTGTAGGCTATTTATGCGCATTTGCCAGACGTTGTTGTGGAAGAGCTCCGCATCAACCAGTCGGACCTCGACACCCGCAAGATGATGGAGCTCATGGCCGTCAGTTCCGTGCAGGGCAGCATCCCCCTGTATCTCCACGTTATTCAACGCATTCTGAAGGATCTGCGCATTGAAGAGCAGTTGAATGGCACGACATTCAACTACCGCGAATTCAAAAGGCGTCTGCTTGACGAAACTCTGGCCGCTGGCCAACTCGTCCCCCTCCAACAGCGACTTGACAACCTCGAAAGTTTCATGGTCAAGGAGCAAGTCGTCAAGGTTGCCAACAAGAAGGCGCTGCAGAGCCAAGGCAAAGGAAATAGTTGGGAATCCAAGGTGGGTTACTTCATTCATCATCAGCATAACTAGCGATTGAGACGTTGACGAGACCAACCATATGCATATTGCAGGCTGGCCAACTCACCATTGTTGACCTCTCGTGCCCTTGTGTCACCGAAGAGACGGCTTGCTCACTCTTCAACATCTGCCTGGATCTGTTTTTGCAGCACCGCTCAGACACCGGTCTTGTGATTGCCCTTGATGAGGCGCATAAATACATGACAGACACTGTCGAGAGCGCAGTCCTCACAGCAAAGCTCCTCGAGAACATCCGTGTGCAACGACACCTCGGAATTCGCGTCATCATCTCGACGCAGGAGCCCACAATCTCTCCAAAACTGCTTGATTTGTGCTCCACCACGATAGTCCATCGCTTCACATCGCCGGATTGGATGCAGGCGTTGAAGCGGCATCTAGCCGGCGCATCCATCGCACCTTTGGCTGATATTGGCGACGAGGACGAAGACGACGACTACGACTACAAGGTCGTCAAACCCGCCCTCACTGCCCACGAGCTCGCAACAGAGCTCTTCACCAAGATTGTCGCTCTCCGCCGCGGCGAGGCTCTGCTGTTCTGCCCCTCGGCCATCATCGACGTGCGCCGCACCGGGACCGAGTCTGAGAAGAAGAATTTCTTCGCGAACGGCGGCGGCGGCGGCGGCGTCAAAGTGAAAGATGAGCATGAAGAGCGCAAGGGAAATCCGCAGCTCGTCAAGCTGTCGCACGGACACATGAAGGTTCGGGTGCGAGAGAGGGTCACTCGTGATGGAGGACGAAGTGTTGTTGCTCGTTGAGGCAATGCCTTGTGCTGATTCCCCCGTGTAGGATAGATCATGCGGATTCTAAGATTTCGATGGATTGTTTTTGCGGAGATTGATACTGATAGATGCGGATAATGGGATACTTGATCTGGACATGGCATGTGTAAAGCATAGCAAAGACCATCCGAGTCGGAACCCCCCCCTTCATCATTCAAATCGTGCATCAGCCATCAACGCCGTCATATCAAAGTCCAGCAGATTCCGCAACACCACATCATCCATGTCAAGACTCATCTGATACAGCTCCGTCCCCCCCACATCCTGCAGCGGCGTCTCTATAGAAGACGACAGGTTCGCCACGCCCTCGTCCACATCCCCAAGCATCCCCCTACCCTGCTCGTCCGAAGCCGACGCCTCCTCCTCCACCGCCGACGACCGTCGCTGTCGCTGCTGCTGCTGCTGCTGCTTCGTCGTCAAAGCCATCGAGCCACTGACACTCCTCATGCGCATCCGGTGCCGTGACTTGAGGCGCTGCATGTACGTCCGCGCAGCCTGCTCTCCGCCAAAAATGAATCCAATCTCCGCCGCAAGCCCATCCGCATCGTCGTCATCAGCCAAAGTTGAAGAAGAAGCCACCGCTTCTTCATTCCCCATGTCCACGAGCCTCAGCATCCAGAGTAAAACCCGCCTCCCACGGCTAGCAACCGGCGAGACGCACCCCTGATCCTCCACGATCCGCAAGTCGTCCGCCATATCCCGAATCCGCTGCCGCACGTCCGCAATCGGCAGCGAGCCCTCCACGAGAAGCAGCGCCGCGACCGTCACCGCAACGGAAAATACCTGGTATGCCTGCGGCAGGAACTTTTGCCGCGAGGTGGTCGACCGGTTGGTCCTGATGGCCCCGTACACGGCCAGGGCGTCTTCCGCCGCCTCGATGCATCTCGCCCAGGAGGCGCCGACGCGGGAGGCCAGAAACGGGCGGTGCATTCGGATGCGCTGCGTGCTGATGCACGTCCGTATGATGTGGTTCTGCCAAGCGAGTGTCTCGCCGAGGGGCTGCGGAAGCGCAGGCGGCCTGCCGTCGCGATCGAGCTGGAAGAACCAGGGGTAAGACCTCGTGATGCCGAGGACCTCGTCGTCGAGCTTGCAGATGGCTTCGTAGGAGTGCGCGTCTTCGGCACTGCTGCCGTGGCAGAGATGGCGATTCATCAGTCTGAAGAAGCGGGCTCGGAAGATGTTGAGCATCATCATGGTCGGCTCGTCGTGGGGGCGTGGTTGGAGGGATGAATCTGTCATGTCGCTGTCGTTGCAGTTGAGTGGTAAAGGGACCCCTGGAGACTCGAGCCGTATCAGGGGAGGACGATTCAGGCAGATGGATTGGAATCTGGAAGAACGCTGTTGGCTTCTGATCACATCCAAGGGGATATTCGAAGTAACGGGGACACTTACGTATCGGAATCAACGAGATCCCACCATATCCGGCGCCTCATCTCCTCCTCCAGCGTCCGAGACGGAGCCACGTCTTTATCCAGTCCAAGATTCTGCGCAGTCCTCACAGCCTGCCCCAGCCGTCTATACCATACCATACCATCAGCAAACCACAATTCCTCTCCACCACTCCAAGAGAGTTCATTTCCCAACTTACGAGTTCAGCGCATCAATCCCATTCGTAGCATACCAATAAAACTGCGTGATGGAAAACGTCTGAAGCTGCACCACACACGGCCTCGCCTCATAATCCCCCGCCAGCAACGCCTGATGCGACGCCCTATGCCACAGATGGGCAAGATCTCGTATTGACTCCCGCGGGCACCCGAAGAGCTCGACTGCGTCCGGAGGGACATACAGAGCGCTGACGGAAATGATTGTGAAGACGAGCGCCGCGAATACAAAGTCCAGCCCGCGGTCTGGAGCGGCGGCATCCCAAAACTCCTCTTCATACCTGCGGCGAAAAGACGGCACATGCGTGATCTGGAAGATCCAGTTGATGTGGTCCAGGTAGTAGTTCAGCAACAAGTCGCACAACGACCGCGAGGGCAAGGCAGACCGCAGCTGCGTCTCCCAGTACCGTCTCCTCGCAGCTCCCTCCATCATGTGCCAGAGCCCAGACGGCTGACCAGCGCTCTGAATCTCAGCGAGAAGCTGCGGCAGCGCGGACACGGGGATGGAAGTCGCCTTTGCGTCCAGACCGAGAGTCCGGAGGAAGAATGCCGTGTCTTGGGTATCATCATCACCTCCGGGGGCCTTATGGAAGCTACTCCGGAGGCGAACAACCTCCCCGTCCGCAGATGCCCGGCCCGGCCCTTCTGGTTCGTCAACAGCCTCCGACTCAGCATCCGGCGGCGGCTCTGAACCAGCGGAAGCATCCGTGTCAATATCACGGACGTCTTCTTCCTTGTGGTTGCGAGTACTGTTAGCAGTCCGGCCGCGCTTCGGAGGCGCCGGATTCTGGCGGCACAGCGTCTCCCGGCGGTAGCGGATGCACGTCCCGCAGGGCACCTCGCGGTCGCATTTCAGCTTGTGTCGCCGACAGGCGAGGCAGCTCAGGGGCTTGCGGCCGCCGCGCTGGGGCTTCTTCTTCTTCTTCTGGCCCTCGAGGCGGGAAGCCTGGTGGTGGTGGTGGTTGACCGGAGATTCGGACATGTGGAGGCACCAGACGGCAAAGTTGTTCGGAGATGAAGACGAGTTTCCCCGGTCGGACGGGATTGTTCAACGAACGAGGTTCGTTTTTTGCAGGTAGTGGAGCGGAACGAAGGAAAAGGAAATTAACAAGATGGTTGGAATCGAAATCAAAGAAGAGCCAAGATTGAAGAAGAATTAGAGACTGGGAGTTGGTTTTGGTGGTAAGATTTCAAGTCGCTAGACGAGGGTTCAAATTCAGCTGCTACTAAGGTACAATAAGTTTTGCTGCTCCCTCTTTTGTAGACGAGAAGAGTCACTCGCCGACTACTGACAAGGGCAGATTCACAACTACTGTTACTACAATCGCAAAAGACGAAATCATCAGATCATTGTTTTGTATAGCCTGTAGACAATCAATCCCATCTACCTGCACCATAGCTAAGCTGACGAGAACAACCTGATGCCGTTCCGTCTCTCGTCACGTCTCCCATCTACTAAAACGGCTGCTTCAGCAGATTCTCAAACTTGGCCACGACAGCAGCAGCATTGCCCTCGTACGATTTCGCAATCATCTCATCTCGCTCCCGGCCCTTCTCCCTACCCACGGCAACCCGCACCTCGCCCTGCGCCCGAGCGCCCTTGACGAGCATTGATGTCCGAGGTTGACGCTTCTCCGCAAATGGCCTGAAGACGGATTCCGAGAGACTACTGCTCCGTAATATGTTGAGACTCTTGTCGATGCCATCTTCATGCTGGCTGTTGGGGGCGAGATTCGGCAGCATGGTGCTCAGGTGGTAGCAGTCTTCCCTATTGAGAGCCATATCGTTAGAAGACAAACCCCCCCTTGTAGAATATTGCAAAGAGAAAGCCTGAGCCACCACTTACATGGCCTGATTGGCACCCTGTCCAAGGTGAGGGCTCGTAGGATGTGCGGCATCTCCTATCAGTACGCAACGTCGCGAAAACCACTGGTCCGGCCTCAGCTCTTCACGGTCAAACAGGCCATACTTGATGATGCGCTCAGCCGATCTCACTCCCTGAGCGATGCTGGCGTCCCAGCCATCTAGTAGCTTGCACAGGGCGTCCCGCTGGGTATCCAGCTCGTCGGCGGTAAAGGGGCGCCACGTCTCTTCTCTCTCTTGAGTCTCTCGCTGCGTGAGGGCCCATGACATTGTCTTGGGGCCTACTGGGTAGGCGATGACATGGACTCCGTCGCCGTACCAGTTGCGCATTGCTGCCGTGTTTTGAAGAGCCACCGGTGTTTCTGAAATGAAGGCCGTCTTTTGTCGCTTTGGTTAGCTATTCTATCTTCTGCCGTCATGCCATCTCCGTCGTCTTGGGCATACCTGTGTAAGACCAGTATATGAAGGAAGCCCTTCTTCAACCCCCCTTTGCTTCTGCAGAATAGCTCTTGAAGCAGACTTGATGCCATCGCATCCAACGAGAAACGACCCCGTCACTGACTGTCCATTGCCGAAAGTCGCCGTCACCGAGTCCTCGTGCTCCTGGATATCGACCAGTGCCCATCCCTCCCTGACCTCGATGCCCTCCTCACCCGCCTTCTCCTTCAAAAGCAGATTGAGCGTCGTCCGCTTGATGCCAGCAGCAGGCTGTCGATAGCTCTCGGCCCAGGTGCTCGGTAAGTTGGACTGTCCTAGGATCTCACCCGAGGCTTTGGCATCCCAGAGGGTCGTGAGAGGGAGGGATTCGGCCTTGATGGCGTCTGCGACTCCAATCAAGTCAAAGACGTTAAGTCTAACAATCCAAGCATGAGCGTCAAAGTTTTTGTACAATGCTGATCGATCAAGCTCGGCACTTACCCATTCGACATGAGCATCAATGACGCTCCGGCATTGCCCAGTTCCCGAACCTTTTCAAAGACAATCGGATGATAACCTTTTCGCTTGAGGAGGATCGCAATGACAGGCCCGGCTACGCCACAGCCAATGACCAGGACGGTGGGGGGCGCCATGTTCATCAGCCGAATATCTCCTTGTTTGAACGGTGTCTGTGATGGAACGAAGGCCGCTGGTGCAGCGACAGCTGGGGGTGCGTGTTTCTGTTGCTTCGGCCATGCTTGATTGTCCTCTGCATCTATATATACAGCTCTTCGACGGCCATGGTTCATGAAAGAGAAGTTTCTTCACCGGGTGAGTCAAGCGGTGAGCCGATACATATCAGATGTTCGGGGTTGCTTCCATCCGAAGAAGGCGACCGGAGAATGAGGCGCATCTCCGGTCAGCCAACCGACGCGTCATGTCGCATTTCGGCATCTCGGAGATGGAAAAGCGCAATTCGCCTGAGAGCCTGGAATCTATTTTCCCTCTTTTTGATATCCTAGAAAGAGTGATCGGGTTGATGCCCGAGTAGATGAAGAACAAAACAGAGATGGCCCTTACCACTCATATCCAAAAGACCTGCTTGCTATAGTACATCAACACCGAGACGCATGATTAGAAGATTCCTTCAGCGCGGCCATACTCCAGAACAGTCCCGTGCAATAAATAATCGAACACGCATGTACTGTGGCGCCCATCATGAGCCCACGCTGAACCCGAATGATCCATCAAAAACGTCGAGCTTCTTCACGTCGTTGTCCGGACCGCGCAAGGACCTTAGAATGTCGATATCGGGCACTTTGTTTGCCGGGTAGAACAGCAGCAGATTCTCCATGTCCTCTTCCGTGAGCTCGCTCATCTCTTCCCACTTGTAGGTATCGCTGACCTTGGACATCCTATGCACAACGGTCCCTTTTGTCAGTGTCTCTAGTTGCTTGTAACTCAATTGCCAAAGGCGCGGAAACTCACCATCGCATTCGCTTCTGGCTATCGTCGTGGTTGGGAGCAACCCTGCGCAGGCGCGTCCTCAGCTCCCCGATATTCTCAATGGCGTTCCCAACATTCGGCGGCAACTGACTGGCAATGTGCCGCCGCAGCGATGCCGCCAGCCGCGGCCCCTTGCCGTTGGTGCTGACCATGACCTGCAGAGGCCCGTCGCGGTGGACGCTGCCAAAGTAAAAGTCGCACTCAGGCGGCACGTCGGCGATGTTGGCCGGGATCCTCCTCTCCTTGCACAGCTTCCAGATGGCCGTCGAGGCGGCCGGGTCGTCAATGGCCACCAGCACCATGTCGGCCTTGTCGAGGTCGGACGGCTCGAACAGGCGGTCGATGTGTGTCACCTGCTTCTCGGCGATGCGGAATGCGACCTCGTCGTTGAGCCCGGAGGCGGGGCAGACGACGGTGACTTGGGCGTCGGCATTGAGGCAGTTGAGGATGCGGCCGGCCGCGACCTGCCGGATGCGCCTGTTAGTCGCGATGGCTTCATGTTCATGGCCGTCAAGGCGAAGCAAGCAGCTGACATACCTCACCACCGCCGACCACTAACACGCTCTTGTCCTTGACGCGCCAGGCCAGGATCAGGCTCCCTCCCGGCTGGACTTGGGGGAACTGCTTGACCATTGTCAAGGCGTAGTGACGGGCACAGTATAGGTGATGCTCTGTCCACGCGACAGTGCTTCAGTGCTTCTGATGCAGAACTCAGGGTGCACGTCAATCTTGAATTTCATCCAATGTCTTGGACATGTCCGGATCGGAATTGGGGCACTTTTTAGACGCCGATAAGGCGAGCGGATAGCAGGGGCACGCTGACCCGGACCACTGCTTGTACCGGCTACTGGAAGCCACAGCACCTCCCAGCGCGCTTGACGCACGCCCGCCCGCTGTAATGGCGCCCGGTTAGCGCCCTCGCCCATCGAGCTGATCCCTGTAGCCGTCGAATCATCAGCGGGGGGCCACCAGCGGCAGCGACGCAACAAGCTGCGCATGTACATATACTTGCGCCCACAAGCCCCCCTCACAGCCGACCTCCCGCGTACAGACAGGCAGCTGTCGTTTAGCCCTCCAAGGATTGCTTCCTTTACGTTTGCTCTTCTTGCAACTATGCATCTCGAGGCCCGGATCGGCCTCCTCTGGTCGTCTCGTCGTTGCGGGTTGCCTCTGTGATCTGGCCGTTCTTGAGCCCCTTGTCCTCCCCTCTCTTCTGCTATTCTCTCGCTCAAAACATCACCCCATCAACACCACCATGTCTGGACGCAGGCTCGGCGGCGGCAGGATCCTGGGCAGCGGCAAGGGCCTTGGCCCGACCCCTCCGCCGGTTCCTCGATCTTCCAGTCCCTTCGCCCCCTCCGAGAGCACCGTTTCCGTCGCCTCCTCCTCGATCTCGCCGCCTGCCAGCGGCAGCCTGGCCGACCTGGCCGACCTGACCCAGGACATAGGCTCCAGCATCAGCGTCGGGACACAGCCCAAGGGCAGCGCAGCCGATGCGTCGAGCCTCGTGTGTCCTATCTGCAGCGAGGAGATGGTATGAGTGCCGTGGTGTCACTAATAAGGAAGGGTACCTTTCTCTAACATGCCCGTGTTCAAAGGTCACGCTGCTGCAGCTCAACCGCCACATCGACGACACCCACCAGGAACTCCCGGTCGAGGAGCAAAACGAGGTCAAGACATGGTTCGACAAGCAGGTCCTCAAGGCGAAGCGCTTCCAGCCGCTGTCCATGATCAACCTGAAGCTGCGCGGCCTCGAAGTCTTTGAGTCCAACGATTCCCATCCTGTCGTTCCGCCGACAGCCACCAGCTCCGCCGGCAAGCTCCCCATAGAAGCGCCCATCGACCCGGAGGAGTTTATAACGAGGAGTCATTGGCAGCGCTCGACGGGCTACGATGTATGTACGGATCCCACTTGCGGAAAGGGGCTGGGGCCGTTGAATGGAAGCGTCAACTGCCGGAAATGCGGGCGCCTCTTTTGCGAGCAGCACACCATGTACCAGATGAAGCTCAGCCGGAGTGCGAGCCACGAGCCAGTTCGCGGGATCTGGGCAAGAGTATGCGAGACGTGCTACAAGTCGAGGGAAGGATACAACGACCACACTGGGGCCTCGGTCGACCATACCGACATGTTCAAGGCCGTCAGAAGAAAAAAGGTCGAGAGACACACCTTGGAGGTGACGCGACTCGAGAAACGGTTGACCAAACTGACGAGGTTGCTCGCAAACTCGCCCGAGGCGCTTGCCAACACGTCAAACGGGTCTCTGCTGGGCCCTGTCCAATCTTTGACTGGGCAAAAGAATACCCGGAAACTGATCGAGCAGTCTGTGGTGACGTGGGAAGAGGATGACAAGGTGCCCGAGTGCCCCTTTTGCCACCAGGAATTCCGCTCTTGGACATTTAGGCGGCATCACTGCCGGATATGTGGCCGCGTAGTGTGCGGAGACCCCCAGACTGGCTGCTCGTCCGAAGTCAGTCTCAGCATCGCTGGACGTACGTGCTTGCCACTCTCTACAGCGTTTCCTAGGCTAATTTCAAGTATAGCAACCGGCCCTGGCGCAGAGAAGCCGCCTTCTGCAACTGGTAACGGCCATATTGCCGTGGACATACGGATGTGCAAGGACTGCAACGACACCATCTTCTCTGCCCGCGACTTTGCAGCGTCCTTGGCCTATAGACCGCCAGACCAGCGAGCATATGAGACGCTTCGGCAGTTTGAACGAGGCATACGGCAGCTTCTACCGAGTTTTCACAGGGCCCTCGTGGCCTTGCAACCAGAGGTGAAGGAGAATGGGGAGATTGACCTCAACAAGCCTCCGCCCACACACGCGCAAATTCAGGAAGCGAGCAAGATACGGAAACGTCTAATCGACAGCTTCACCAAGTACGGGTCTGCCGCCAGAAGGCTGCGCGACTTGAAGGCAGATAATCCGACCCAGCAGAGGCTGCAGCTCGCAGTGTATGCTTATGCGAGCTCATTCCTACACACCAACATGCTGCCGCTGAAAAACATTCCGCAAATGCTGCGGCATCGATCTACGCCGTCATCGTCCTCGTCACACTCGCATCTCCTTCCCTCGACCAATCATTCGACGTCCAGCCTGCGGCATTCGGAGCTTGCCGAGTCTGATATTGCTTCTCAAGCGCCTAGCGAGGCGAGCACGGTGGTTAGCCTATTGGAGACGGAAGAAAAGGATTTGAAAGAGCGGCTTGCCGTGCTCGAGGAACAAAAGTTTATGGTCGAGGAAATGGTCAAGTCGGCCACTGGAGCCAGGAGGTTCGAAGAAGTCAGCGCCCTGTCGAGGAATCTGGATGAGCTGAATGGCGAGATTCAGGGGCTGAGGAAGAGGATTGGGGATGTGGAGAAGAAGTGGGAGGTGGCTTATCGGAACGGTTCCTAGGTGAAGCGGGCAATCGACTTCTTTTCTGCCACTGCCGTTTCGAGGCCCTTTTCGAAGTGTCTGAGGTGGGACGGATCATTTGATTAACTGGGTTTACATTTGCATTGTATGGCGTTCTTGGATGGGTGACAAGTCACTGTTTATACTAGGTATCAAGGGGCAAGTTATTGTTTATACTAGGTACTCAAGAGGAGACCATGGTTAATTGGGTCTTTGCTTCAATATGAGTTTGGGTTTTCCAGTCAAGCTTCTTGATCACCGACCTAGAGCTGTACGGAGTAGAACTAATACCTCTTCAGAGGCCATCTCGAAAAAAATAGGTACGATGTGGCTGTCGAAATCACTCGTTGCCGTTTACCGATATTCACGGACTCCCTTGGAAGTGTCCTGGTTGATCATCACCAAACTCAACATCATTGCTTAAACGATCGCTGCTCTCAAGGGTTACACTCAATTACGACAACAGAAAGCCTCCGATCTTGCAAAAAATAGCAAGTAAACGAGGCCAAAAACATATGATTGTACAAGTTCCCAGGCATCAAGGAAAGAAAAGGTTCCATCCAAACGTCGGACCGAAACATCAACACCCCATCCTACTGGTATCCGAGCACAGTCAGAAAGATGCCAACACGCAAAAAAGTGTCGATACAGATGTACATGTTTATGACTTTGAAGTTAAGGTATGTACATCAAGATAGAAGTTGATGTACCCTCAAAAAATGAATCCAGAAACCTAAGCAGCCCATCCAGTCCCAAGACGAGTAAAGAGATAACAAGAGTCAAGCCAAAAGCCAATATTTGTCCAGGAAAAAAAAAAAAAGCAAAGCAAAACACCCGTCCCACATATGCAGTTATACAGATATACAAAGAATTCGGACAAGTAGCCGTTCAACGAGCCGAGAAGAGAGGAAAAAAGAAAAAAAAAAAGACGAAAAAGACGGATCAAGGAATACAACGAAACAAGGTGGAAGAAGAAGGCAGAATCAAGGGAGGCAGCATAATCACTAGTGCACCACCCCCTCGACGCCTCCAAGGAACCTCCTCACCCTCCCAATCTCCAGCTCGTCCTTCTCGCTCTCCACGGCCTTGAGCAGGCCGTCGACGACGGCATCCACCTCCGTCTCCGGAACGCCCGTGCACAGCGCCACGACACGGCGATACTTGATCTCCACGTCGCGGCTCCGCCCCTTGAGCGCCTGCACCATCTTGCGCGTGACCTCCTTGCGACTCTCAATGGCCCGGATGCGCGCCCGCAAAATCGTCGCGGAAGGCAGCATTCCCTCGCTGGCGAAGCCGCCCGACGTGGAGGCTTCGTCCGCGGCCTCCAGCATGGCGGCGAGCTCCGTTTCCCACGAAGACGACGGGTTGGACTGCGCGGCGTTGGACTGTTCGTTCATGATCCTGAACTGGTCGTCTTCCCGGGCGTGCGTGAGGTTGGCGACCTTTTGGCGGGCGAGCTGCTGCTTCTTAAGCGTAGCGGTGATCTGCTCGACGCTTCGGCGGGCCTCGCCGAGCTGGGTGGATGTTGTCCGGAGGGTGGCGTGCAGGTTGTCGAGGGAGGCCTGTTTGGCCTTCATTTCCTGCTGGAAGGTGGCGCCAGTTTCGTTCAGGAGATGGGTAATCGCTAATGGGCAGTTTAGTATGGGCAAAAATATGCTGCGAGGCGCAGGGCAAGGGTCAACTTACATTCAATAATCTCGTCGCTGCTCTCACGGCTTCGCTGGTTCGATCCAGGGGCGCCATTCTTCTCAACAGCGGCATCCCCGTTTGGCTTTCCCTCGGCATTCTCGCCGCCAATGCCAAAATCGAGGGGCCGCAACCCGACGCGGTTGGCAATCTCTGGATCAGCGCCGACCTCTAGAAGCTGGGATATTATACTCCTGTTTCCAATCCGCGCGGCAATGTTGAGTGCCGTGTCCCCTGAGCTGTCCTGGGCATTGACAATCTCAGACATGAACCGCGCAATGCCCATCTTAGGAATGCTTTGCGACCCGTTGAGCCCGTGACCGTTTAATTGCGTTGCTTGACTGTTGGGAACACTGCCTTGTCTTACTACCCACTCCAGGAGGCTCTCGAGGTAATATCGGCTGGCGGCGTTGCGGCCTTTGACCGCACTTGTAACTGCGATGTGGTGTAAGACGGTCCGTCCCTTGTGGTCACGGAACTCAATGGTGCCTCCCAATACCTCCAGAAGATCCGGAAATGAGCCCTGGTCCATGGAGTTGGTCACGAGACATGCCCGCATCAGAGCAGTCTCTCCCGATGCATTCACGCGTCGCGGCGAGGCTCCGGCGGTGATGAGAGCCCGCAGCAGAGGCATTCGGGCGAGTGTGGCTGCCCAGTGCAGTGCGGTGTGGCTCTGCGGATCGATGGGCATGTCGAGTTCGAGAGGCGTAAATGTCTGAAGCATGTCGTGCGATAGCTCCTCGGTAGCCGAGTCCATGAAGAGCCCCATCAGCATGCTCCGTTTGATCTCCACGTCGGGCGACATCTCGTACGGCAGCGGAGGTAACGGGCCGCTGCCCTCGTCGACGGCGTCGCGGTCGTTCAGTGTGTTCTGCGTATAGACAAAGGATTCGTTTGGTTCTGTGGGTGAGCCCGGGAAGTTGGCGGCGTATGGATCGATGTTTTGACTATAGGAGCCAAAGCTGTCGGCGGGAGTCATGGTGACCCGTGCCCGTTTCCTAGGCGGCTCGTTGTCGGGCATGCTCACACTGCCATTCAATTGGGGCTGCTGATGTTGAGATGACTGCTGGTGCTGTTGCGGTTGCGGAAGCTGCTGCTGCGTGGAGTAGGCCGAGTCTACGGCCGGGTTGGTGTAGTCGGAGGTGTAACTCTGCTGGGAGTTGCCTGGGAAATCATCGCCATTCTGCATCGAGGGCTGGCGGCTGAAGCTGGGGGCTCTGGTCGGCCCGTTCCGGTTCCTGGGTCCCGGAGAGCCAAAGCGAGCCTTGCTGATGGCGGCGACTGCGTGGGATGCGGTGCTCGAGATGTTCTTGAAAAAGGTGCCCGACAGGCCATTGGGTCTCCCGTCCGCGCCGGCATTGTACATGCGCTTCCTCTGCGCGGCCATGGCCTGCTCCTTGGTGGGCGTGTTGAAGTCGCCCCGTCCCGCGACACCGCCATCCTGGCCCATGTCGTAGGTGAGCAGCGGCCGCAGCAGCTCCTCGACGCCGTACTGGCGGCAGACCTCGACGCCGCGGTCGAACTTGATCCAGGTGCCCTGGTATTTGCCGTAGCCGCCCTGGACCTTTTCGTGCTCGCCAATCTGGATCTCCTTTTCGAGGATCTTGGTGCGCTTGCCCTTGTCGACGCCGGCGACCTTGAGGATCTGGGTGGCATTGAGCCAGGAGTCGTGGCGGCGGCGCATGACGGCAATGCTGTTGACCTCCATCTCGTACACGTCGACACCCGAATACGACGCCTGTTTGGCACGTCGTCAGTCAGTCAGTCAGTCAGTCAGTCGATCAGCCAATGGCTTCCCGATGGCTCTGGCGGTTCCATCGCCCCGAAGCGCTGCACCGGCAAACGGATGGCGGGGATTGAACTGCATACCGAGTAGATCTGAGGCCCTTCGACGCTGCCGTTGTAGCCGCGGTTGAAGGAGGCGGTGCGCCCCGGCTGGGACTGCTGGCTCATTGTGAAGGACTGTTGCGACGATTGCGACGCAGAGGGCATCATGTGAGTTCGTGTCTGGTGGTTCTGTCGAGGAAGAAGAAACAAAGGTTGGCGAGGTCGAAATGCCGGTAAGTCGTCGCACGACCAAATGGCGGCACTAGCGAGCAGCTCTCCCCAAACTCAAAAAACCCAAAGCCATATACGAGAGGAGAAGGCGATGCGCGCGCAGGCTTCGTAATGCGTCGCCTCTGTTGTCTTCTGTTGAGTCTTCTTTTTTTTATTTCTTATTTTTTTCGTCGCTTTCGTTTGTCGCAAAGCTGCCTTGTCAGTCGGAGAGTTTTGAAGTCGGGGAAGCGAAAGGAGATGCGGCCCGCGTGGCTGCTGGTAGGGTAACAAGCAGCGATTCTGCAGCAGAGGCTGTGTGCAAAGAGCAGAGTCAAGGTCAGGTGAAGGTATGCAACTGTCGCTGCTTCTGGACTGGAGAGAGGGGGCCGGCGATGTCTCCGCTTTGCAGAATGGCAACGAATGAAAAGGGCGGCAGATGTAGAAGATAGGAGTCAAGATAGTAGGATCGATGGCTTTTGCAGGGACAGACAGACAGAATCCACAGCAGGGACGCGAGTGTGAGGTCCAAGTCTCAGAACCGAGACCCTGACAAAGGGCTACAAATGGAAGGTCTCGAAACCTCGCAGGTACCTCGAGTTACTTTATAGGTAGGTAGGCACAGGATCAGGGAGTTGTAAAGGAGCAGCAGGCAAAAGGATCAAGCCGTGATGCAGCGAGGGTGACGACGAGTGGGGGACAGAAAAGCCAGAGAAGATGAGGGCATATGCATCCTAAGGCTCCCCGTATGTACATCAGACCTGCACTGCAGGAATACAGGCGATTTGTCTGTGCTGTGCGAGGTACGAGGCACGAGGCACTAGAACAAGCATAGCACGAGGTACGGAGTAGCATTCGGCTCTGCTCGGGGCGCGTTGAGCGCTGCAATTCTTTCAATTAAAGACGTGTCCGTTTCGCGAATTTCGTGTCGTGCGTGTCGCGCCTCGCGCCGAAGCGACCCTGTTTAGGTGCCTGAATGCCGACGGTGAGATCCATTGATGGGCCGTGGTGGGGTTCAGCAGCCCTGGCCGGGCTCTGACTTGACGGGAGGTTGAAGATGGTTTGAGTGGCGCTGCTTCGGGCGGGAGAGGGCCATTCAGGGCTTTGTTTACTGTCAACAACTCGGCTTCTTCTGCCAATCAGTTGCTGGCCAGAGTTGACAGCTGACTACTTTACCGGTTCTGGGACCTGCTTGTCCAGCTGATATGATGCTGTGCGTGCAGTCGAGGACGGGATGTCATCATTGGGTCGCAGCAGGAGAGGGTCTTGGTATCCTCAGTCAACATTCAACGTCTTGTGATTCTCCAGGGTCTCATCGAGGGCTTGAGTGAGCATGAGGTGCAGCTTTGTTGAAGATGACAACCGTTTGTGCCGACTGATGCTCTCCGGCTACGGCTCCGGCCACGGCCGCTCAGATCCGGCTTGTGTGTATAAGGCAGAGCAACAATCGGACGCTGATGGCGCAACAGATGTAACATATTCCGTACCTATGTACTCTTCCGCTACAGGCCCTGGAGAAGCATGTCATTGGTGACTCAACCGCTGATGCTGGATTCGCAGCCCAACAAGCAGCCAGCATGTAGTAGATAGTATGTAGACTCCCGCACGGCTATCGAGATCGGAAGCGTTGTCGGAGCTGTCAAACACTCCATCGGCGCTCCACGTGACCGCCCAGCTTGCTCTGCCCCGCCATTTCAGTTTTGCTACCCCACCATTGCAGCGATTGTGACTCAGGGTCGTTGCGATATATCGGCTTCATTTTGTCTTTTACATTAGTACATACCGACGATTTATATCTCCAATTGCATTCCATCTCCTTTCCCTTCTTCATTCAGACATCACAACCACCAATCCGTGTCACAATGCCTACCGTCATCCATTTGAGAGCCGACACCAAGCCGTTCGAGCGTCGCTCGCCGCGTAAGTTGCCCATACCGAGACCGTCTCCATCAGTCGCATCACTGTCTTCTAACACGCAGACCAGTGTCACCCCAAACTGCCAAGGCCCTCCTCGACGCCGGCTACATTGTCCGCGTCGAGCGGTCTGCCGAGCGCATCTACAGGGACGAAGAGTTCGAGGCCGTTGGCGCCGAATTGGTTCCTGCCGGATCATGGATCAAGGCGCCCAAGGAAGACATCATCCTGGGTCTCAAGGAGCTGCCCGACGACGACATTGACCTGCCCCATACATACATCCACTTCCAGCACATCTTCAAGAAGCAGCTCGGCTGGGCGCCTTCTCTGAAGCGCTTCGCTCGCGCCGGCGGCACGCTCTACGATTTGGAATTCCTGACGGAGGAGAACGGCCGTAGAATCGCGGCCTTTGGCTATTTCGCTGGATACGCTGGCGCCGCCATTGCCTTCATCTCATGGGCACACCAAATCCTCAACCCCGGCGTTGCCCAACCCCCGGTGCCTCTGTTCGACAGTGCGCCTGCTCTGGTCGCGCATGTCAAGGCTGCTCTCGAGCCTGCAATTCGTGCCAACAACGGCCAACTTCCCCGCGTCATCGTGATTGGAGCTCTGGGACGATGCGGCAAGGGAGCCGTGGACTTTTGCCGTGAGGCTGGTCTTCCTGAAGACTCCATCCTGAAGTGGGATATGCAGGAGACTGCCAAGGGCGGGCCTTTTGAGGAAATCACCACCTCCGACATCTTCATCAACTGCGTCTACCTTGGCCCTACGCCCACTCCTCCTTTCGTCACTTTCGAGTCTCTTGCGACCCCCGACAGGAAGCTCCGAGTCATTGCCGATATTTCATGTGATCCCAACAGGTCAGTTGTTTCCTCGACCCCAGTCTAGGTCTTCGTATACTAACATATAAGCAGCGAGAACAACCCGATCCCCTTGTACTCCACCTGGTCTAGCTTTGACAAGCCTACGATCCCGACTTCCAAGCCCGTCGACGGCCCTGAACTGCGAATTATTGCCATCGACCACCTTCCTACCTTGATTGCCCGCGAGTCCAGTGATGAGTACTCTGGCCTGTTGCTGCCGGCCTTGCTCACTCTGGACAAGCGGGACACTGAGGGTGTCTGGACGAGAGCAGAGAAGACATACAAGGACAGAGTAGCACAGTTGCCTTAGATTAATGGCGTCACGTTGCAAGATTAATGAGTATAAAGTTATGAAAGAAAAAAGACCAATGCGGAAAATGGGCTTGAGAGATACCGCTGTAGGGTTACAGCATGGAAAATATGGGAACTAGAGGCTATTTATGAAAACATACAACATAGCAAAGATCCAATGTATAAGGATCGTGATTTGCAGTGAATCATATTTATTTCTTTGGCCATAAACCCGCAGGCCGTTCGTTACGAGAGGGAGCATGTCGATTCGGATCAACCGTGGTTTAACCAATCACAGTCGAAAAGATTTCCGATTGCGATAACAAACACATGCTATGTAGAAGCTCCATCCACCGATAAACCGCCGTCTACGGAACTTCTATTCCTCTTCAAGCTTCATCAATCGAAAGAGCCTACTTCCTAATCTGCCTTATGTAGCTTCTCGCAGGCCTCAACCCCGATCGACTCAAACATGCCCGCCCCAGCATATCCTCTGCCCGCATCGCCATCCCCCCTCCAGCTCTACCGCCACCTCCTCCGAGAATGCACCTACCTCCCGCCCGTCTTCCGAGCCGAGATCGCGTCGACAATTCAAGACCGCTTCCACCGCCACCGCAAACATGACCCGCGCGCAAAGGCTCACCTTGCTCGGGCGCGTACAGCCCTGCGAACGCTCCGAGCGGCCAACAGCGGCGACAAGGCCGCCATGGAGGGCTTGATCTCCAAGGGATTCGGACGGTCAGGAAGCAGGCGGCGAGAATTGATGGCGAGATTCGTGATCCCGCAAGGCCCGAAAGACTCGAGCGCTCTCGAGAAAGTCCTCGTCGCACCGCCGGGCGGAGAAGGAAGAGGAGAAGGCGAGGGCGCAGCAGAAAGCTCAGCCGAGGGCGCCGCGGCCAAGGGGAAAAGGGCCTTTTTCGAGAAATGGGACCAAGACAAGCTTCTGCGGATCCTCAAGTCGCAGCGACAGCAGCAGAGGGACACAAAGGGGACGGCCAGCTGGCCGGGAAATGCCGTCAAGACAATCGACCCCGACCAATTCATCCCCGAGCAAACCATTTGGGGGAAGCCACCCTGCGAGAAGCTGAAGCAGACGAAGAGGGCTGGCTGGTGGCGGAGAAATGCCGACAAGATCATGCCTCCCTTGGGCAGGGGCGAATGGGAGATTCTCAAAGAGTTGGCGGCCGGAGCCCAGGAGAGAGGCGAGTGGCAGATACCGGCGAGGCGCCCGCTCGCAACCTCTCCGGAGAAGACGACGGAGGAGATGGCGGCACGCACGCAATGGAACTGGAAAGACTACGCGACGAAGCCGGCGGCCATTGTCGAGAAGCCAAAGGCGCTCAAGCAGCAGCGGCGGACCGGGCAAAAGGACAGTGGCCCGTACAGCGTCAAGGATCGCGATCGCGAGCTGTCCAAGAGGTGGTTCCAGAGGGCATACAGCAGAACATGGCAGCTCACACCCACCATGACACAAGACCCCAACACGCTCAAGTACTCGTTCACCTGGGGCAGCATTCAACCGCGGCTCGCTCCCGCGGCCAAGCACCAGCTCGACATTTTCGAAGGCGTGGATGAGCGCGGTCGCAAACAGGACAAGACACCATCGTCATGAACGCCTCGGGAAACTTTTTCCATGTCGTCGCAGTATATATATATATATATATACAATATCTAATCGGCAAGATGGGCAAGCTTCTCCAGCGCAGGACCGTCCACGCGCATCCCCACCCACTCGTTCATGGCCGTGGCCCCGATGAGCTCATAGAACTTGATGCTCGGCTCATTCCACTTGAGCACCGACCAATCCAGCCGCCCACCGTCCATGGCGACGACCTCCTTGGCCAGCGACGCCAGCAGCAGCTTGCCGTAGCCCTTGCCGCGGTACGCAGGGTCGACGAAGAGGTCCTCGAGGTAGATGCCCGCCTTGGACCGCCAGGTGCTGTAGTTGTAAAAGTAGAGCGCCATGCCGGCGGGCTTGCCCTGGTTGTCGTCGAAGACGAGGAGGCAGCGCGCGGGGCGGGTCGCCGAGATTGGTTCCGTCACGGGCAGGGCGTTTTGCGGGCTGGTGACGCCGGCGGGGGCGAAGGCGATTGTGTTCTCGAGGGTTTCGACCGTGGCCAGGACGGCGTCGGGCTCCTTTTCGTAGTCGGCGAGGGCCTGGATGAAGGCCAGGATCGTGGGCACGTCTGGCGTTTTGCGAACCCAACACCGTCAGTTTGGATGGCATGTCACAATGGGATTACCCGAAGAGGAAGAGAAGAAGAGAACATACCCTCGCGCCGTGCGTGTCGAACCGTCGCCATTGTGATCTGGATGAACCGTGTCTCGCTAAGCAATCAGGTTGAAACCAACCAAAACACACTCTTCTGAGTTGAACCTGCCCGCGGACTTATAAAGAGTTCCTCTCAACTCCGTCCCAGTCAAAAGCAGATGCGCCTCTTTATATGTAAATTCATAAGTTGGAGAAGTCCCCAGTGGGGCACAACCAAGTCCAGCGACATTTCAATCATTTTGCCCATCTTGAATTCTAGTACTACTGATGAGGGGCAGCACTTTTATGGCGGGGTTATTCGGCGCCCGGGCATCAAGTTGCAGCGAGTCAGCATTCCATGCCTCCTGGCTGCATCGATTATTAAGGCGACCTCTGTCCAAGGTTCTTGCGCGCCTTTGCGGTTGTCAAAATCGCCCTTTCGACGGGCGGGCTTGATCCACTATTACACTCTTGCAATTAATTACCATATATGGACTTGTGAGCTTATGCAGACGCTGCTGGATCAGTCAACTCTTCAAGCCCACCTCGGAGGCGTTTGCCGTGAATTGTGCCAGAGGAAACTGCCGAACAGCCTTACAAATACCAGAAGAACAGCAGAGAATCGACAAGTGATTGATCAAGTTATACCCGACCTCGCAAAACTACACCTTGAGCTTATTCCGAGAGATAAACAGCCACAGTCCCAGCTGCGAGCCAAACAGGGCCAGGGCCACCGGCTGGAGGACCTCGACGCCGTACGCCTCGGCGAGTGCGCCGACTGCAAACGGGAAGCTGCATGATGAAATAAGAAAAAAGGAAAAGAAAGAGTCAGTTTTCAAACCTCGACGAGAAAACATGGGACTGAGTTGAGATTCTGGAGGGTGGAGGAGGAGGGGGAATGGCGTACACGGCGGATCCAGATACTGCAAATGCCGTTGCAAAGCCCACCGAGACAAGATGCTTCTCCGGCGGCAGCAACTTGGTCATCAGTCGGATTCCCTGTCCCGAGCTCCCCCGTCAATCATCTGTTCTCGGAATCGAATATGGAATCAAGATGTTGAAAGAGAAAAAAACTTACAGACGGCATAATCATCCCAATCGACACCCCAACGAGCGCCGCCATGACCGCGCTCACCGCAAACTCCCTGCCCAGCCAGAAGCCAAGCTCCAGACCCATCGCGGCGAGCAGGTACACCGTCACCATGACCTTTTCGCCGACGTAGCCCGTGACCCAGCCCAGCGCGAAGCGGCCGACCGTGAGGCCGATCCAGAAGCCCGACGTGGCGAGGGACGAGGCCGTGGGCGAGCCGTTGCGGACGCTCATCATGAAGGTGAGGAGCCAGCCGCCGATGGTCACTTCGGAGCCGACGTAGAGGACCATGAAGGCGGAGAAGGTCAGGGTTACCTTTGGTTGTTCTTGTCAGTCTGATGAGAGAAAGGGGGAGTGGTGTAGGGTCTACCTTGTTCTTTAGGACTTTGATGGTGCCTGGTTGGGCGTTCGCGTGTGATAAAGGGGCTTCACGATGTCGATGGAAGCCAGCTCCGGTGTCATCCCAGAATGAGGATGTGACGCCTACGCAGGCGAGACAAGCAAGGCCCATCTATACACGTGAGTATATGAGAAGTTTACCCTTCATGCTGCAAGATAAGTCGACGAACCATCATGGCTGGAGTGCGTTAGCTGGGTACCTCCGAGAAGAGCACACTCGTTGACGACTTACTATAGAAGATCCACCAATGTTCCACCTTTGTCGCAATTCTCGACACCTACACCAACCAAGCATAAGACACACATCCATCACATAGGAGTTAAAGGAAGACACACCAAGATCGGAGCGAGCGTAGCACCAGCCCCCCAGAACCCATGCAAAAAGCCCAACAGCGTGCTCCCGGACACCAAGCCCCCAACCCAGCTATTCCAGCTCCCGTTCATCAGCCCGCTCCCAAACCCCGTCAGCACGAGCAAGAAGACGACGACGGGAAAGGGCGGATGCTGCGAAAGGCCCAGGTACGCGAGGACGTACGCCCCCGTCGCCGTCAGCGCCACGCCGCGCCTCCCTGCTATGGCGTGGAGACGGTTGGACGCGAACGAGGCGAGCACGCAGCCCACCATGGGACTGAGGAAGATGAGCGAGACGATGGAGTGGCGCAGGTGATAGTACTCGCCAAAGAGGGGGACCATGGCTCCCGGGGCGCCGTCGTTCATCCCGTAGACGAGGAAGGCGAAGAAGCAGGAGAGGACGCGGTACTTGTTCCGAGGGGGGTCGTTCCATCGCTGGGCTGTTGAGACGGCTGTTGAGGGGGGCAGGGCTGATTCGGCATCGTGGACGGAGGGTTCTGGGAAGGGATCGGGGGGATCTGGCTTGGAGGAGCGGCGGGGGATGGAGGCTGTGGGAGCGGGAGGGGAGAGTGGCTCGAGGAGGACGGTTTCGCTTGTTGTGACTGCGGTGGTGGACATGATGTGCTTTTTCAATAGATACCTAGTTGATGAAGTCTTTGATATTTCGCCTTTCTTCTAGTCGAATAGATACCTATATATAAGTTGACGAGTATAAGACGAGCTGCAACTACCGCAACCAAGAGGCTCAGCAGTCTAGTTTAGGCCCCCGACTATCATGTACGCAAATCACCTGAGAAAACAAGCCCATTTATCCGCGAAATTACCCAATCCAGTAACTTCCCTTTTCTTTGCCCTCATAGAACTCAATGCGAAGCGGTGTCGGATTCTCCGCCTTTGTCGGGGAGAGTCCCCTTGGTGCAGGTTGGCCATTACCGAGTACGAGAAATGCCGACACTCCCCGGTGGGATTTGCTTTGTATTAGTCATTGGTTTTTTGAGTTTCTGATATAGCAAGTGGTCAAGTGATGATGTTGATCGTGAGAATGACGATGGAGATGGGCAGTTGTCAAGTGAGATGAGGGTGAGATTTCGGGGAAATGCTGATTGACCGTCGGGGCAATGGTTGATTGCCAAGGCGTCTTGCTTTTGATTTTGTTTGGGGAAATGGGTTGGAGTTGGTTTAGTTGAAGCTGATGGTGGTGATGGGTTCGCGTGTGTCAAACTGTACCCCTTGCAGGACATTGATTAATAGAATCGGTACAGTCACTGACTAGGAAAGCAATGATTGATATTTCTATTTCCGTCTTGTGAAAATACCTTGGTATCTAGTCCTAGAATCAATGGATCGTTGATATGCTGCAAGAGATTGGATAGCAATAGTGTGCCAGAAGGGACATGCGTTGAAGCCTTGTGCAAACTCACCCCATAGTAGTAGTCATTCTTGACGCAAACTGTTTCACCATGAAGCGTTTCCCTCACATTCATAAGGTACAAACAAAGATATAGTGCTTGGTCGATGCTTCCATGAGCAAGTTTGCGAGAATATTCCATCATTCTCGGCTCGGCGGTTCGTCTATCCGCTCCAACTGTTTGGCATACCTAGTACTTCTTGGAACAAACAAGGAGCAATTCCATCTTCGTTGACCTTGATGGGCTTCAGTTCACCCTTTTTCTTGCTCTCAACCGACCAGCTGCACAAGGCTTGCAAGTTTCTCGTCTTTCCCACTTGCATCCTGTAAACATTAAGGTACCTTGATGAAGCGACATCGGCCTCCGTTCCTCAACTCAACCTGAACCCCTTTCTCTCTCTTTTCCCAAGCCATCTAAATGCAATAGGAGTCATCTCTTCCGTCACAATCGAGCAAACAATCAACTTGAAATTTCAAACACAACATCAACAAGAGAAACAGACCTCACATCGCGATGCGCAACTTCTCCCTCCCCAAGCCCCAGCCAGCCATCTCCCTCGTCACCGAGATCCAGTTCGGCATCAAGCTCGAGTTCCGCGCTCCTCCCGTCTCCGCCTCGCACCCGTGGCCCGAAATGTCCGACCGCGACCGCAGCCTCTTCTACTTCGCCTCTGCCCTGCAAAGGTCTGGCCTCCAGGCCGCCTTTCTCCTCGACAAGGAAGAGTCGGAGAATGAAGGCCAGGACGCGACCCTAGGCAAGAACAGCTCCGGTGGCATCCGCAAGGACAGCGAGGATGAAGACGCTACAGAGGCACAAGGCTCACAACTCACCCAGGTCCCCAATAGATACATCGTCAAGACCAAGCACAACCCCGACATGTTCATCATGAACCCCCAATCCTCCGCCCCCTGGATCAACGCAGGTGCCAAAAACAACCCGCTGCTCAGATACTGGCTGCTCAAGGCCGGGACAGAGAACAAGAGCGAGGTGGAACGCCAGGGGACGCACCTCAACTGGCACCCAATGGAGCTCAGCAGCCCGATGCTGCGCGAGTCCGAGGCAAACAACCTGTTCCCGGGCATCAACACGGCCATCTACGACCTCTGGACTGCGCATCCAGCCAAGCTAAACACACATTACGCCTGCGGCCTGCACGTTCAGGTCGGCCCGGCTGTCGTCCCGTCTCTTGGTATCATCGCCTCTCTTTCTCAGGGGCTGACTCAGGGGTTCCAGAGACAGGGCCAAGGAAGCACGAATAGAGACACTCAAACACCCCGACCGACCCTCACCACTCTTCAGGCACAGCGCGTGGCCACGCTCGTCGTCGTGCTTGAAGACAAGCTGCTCTTCCACCTCTGCCTGCCCAGCCGCCGCCGAGTTCACCACCAGCTCGCCACGGGCTCAGGCCTTGCCCACGCCCCCAACGCACCGGCCTCCGCCCTCGCAGAGGCAAACCTCCCCCCCAACATCCTCACCGGCAGCGGCCCCGTCGAAAAGGCCATCAAGCACCTCTGGACCGCCGCCGACATCGACCATGTCCAGCAGATGCTCTCCCTCCACCCCCGCCGCACCCGCGACAGAGAGGCCCGCACCACGGCGCTGCACATTGTCGCCCACGCGCACGAGGACGATGCCGGCGGCGGCGTGACGCACGCGCTCGAGTTTCGGCACGCGCAGGCTGCCTTCAGCCAGGGCTTCGTCGACAACTGGACGCGGCTGGTGCTGACGGTGTGCAAGGCGGCGTTCCTGCCCGCGGAGAGGTTCAAGCTGCTCGTGGCCATGCTCTAGGAGACGGCGCGGACGGCGGCGCGGGCCGAGGACGCGTGGAGGACGCTGCTCAAGCTGCTCAACGACTTTGCGCCGGTCAACTGGCATGCGAGGAGCAGCGAGCAGTTTTGGGTCGGATATCTGGCCGTGCAGGACAGGAAGTGAGCTGCTGCTGCTGATGCTGCTGCTCTTCTTTCAACGTCCCTTGCCTCTCTGGATGCTTGTAACAGCGATCAGTCCATCTCTGGCAGCATCAGATTCACAGATTCTGGGACACGGAAAGTCCGCGGGCTTTCTCTGGTGAATAGGTGAGTTCACCTGCATGTACACGCTCGACAATCCACTCGCGAGAAACGACCAATCTCTTTGCTTTATTTCTTTTTTCCTTTTTCTCCTTTCAAAAGTGTCTTCGGCTACCTTTACAACAAAGAAGAACAAATGCCCCTTCGTGGCAGCCAGCAAAAGCAGATCGAATTCGAACGGCGTACACATTGTCTCTGCGCATCAGCGGTTACAACACATATATCAAAAGAATTTCATTTTTTCACGTTTGACCATAAAAGATCGGAAAGGCCATGGTGTATGCTCAGAGGAATAGCCAGGCCGTGTTCTCTCGGCATATGATGGAAGGAATCTCGTCTACGTTTGCTGCTTCGTATCTATCCGTTAGTCTGCAGTTCAAGGGGGGAAACTACATAGGCTACAGATTTAGTCATGGATCATCAAGTCAAATATCAAAAGCCTCGTAAGGAGATAGTTCAAACAGGCTCAGTTTTCGTACTGCTTTCACTTCTTCGTACCTTGATCGATACAATGCACCAAGTCTTTATCTCTCAGTATTCATGAGCCGCCTTTGGAAGAAATCGCGGAAAGAGAAAACCTACAAGCTCTACAACAGACACGTCAACCAGACTCTCACATCAAGAACCACGACAAAACACAACCCAACTCCATGCAGTCAGTCCCTTCCAACAACTCCAGCCCTCCCCCGAAAGAATCCACCCAGCGGGATACATTACCCTGCCAAAGGATCAGTCAACCCCATATTTTCTCCGCACACGGGAACGGACACTGACTCAAGCCATAGAGACTATCCTCACTAATATATGCGCACACAAGGCCATACCAAAACCCGGAACCACTCCGAAGCAAGCTTGGGTAACAAAGGCTCCGAAACTCCGCACTTCTTCGTCTCTATATACCAAGGAATCTCCTTTCGAGAATACCTTTTGCCCTTTCTAGCATAAGGTGTGGCTTCAACTCTTGACGCCACGCCTACATTCCACCTTCTTTTCCTTCCATGCTATTTCGGTGGCGACGAAGAAATGCTCTACATCATAGAGTACTAGAGAGAAACAACGAGGCATGACGGCGTCCTCCGTGAATCCAGGCTATGACGGCGCTTGAATCCATCCGGACCCTCAGCCGTCATGCATCTCAGCTGGCCCGTCCGTCTCCAGAATGGAAAAAAATTCCAAGCGCTGCAGGGCCATTTGCATGCAGCTAAAGCGGACAGACAGCCACGCACGTTCCCGCCGTCTTCGGAGGACCCCGTAACGGCAGCGGGGCAGGCGTCTGGATAGGGTTGACGAACGAACAATATAGTGCTGGACAAGAGTCAACTCGGCACGCAAACATATCCAATCATCCAAGGAAAACTAGTCATTAAACTATCCGTCATGACTCGTGACAGCTACTGTAAAGGCATCTGAAAGAAATCAACTACTACAGCAAATACCGATAATCGGGGGACAAGTCGCCCAGAGCCGTCTTTTCATCCTCCGACAACTCGGGCACGTCCGTCATGCTGTCCCGCTGCTTATTCGCCCTCATGCAGCCGAATCCGTAGAGGGCCGATGCCACCATGGACAGAACGGTAAAGGCCAGGCACACGCTGTAGCCCGTCGTGAACTTGGGCGCGTCCTTGGTCAAGAAGATGAAGACGGCAATGATGCCGCCCAGGTTGCCGTAGCCAACCTGCCACGCGCTGCCCACGGCGCGGCGCGTGTGGTTGCCGAGGTTCATGTTGAACCAGCACACAATAATGGGCATGGCCGTGTAAGCGCCGGACGTGATGAGGAACAGCGCGCCGTACTGCACATCGGCGTTGCTGTGCTCGGCCAGCAGAATGGCAAAGCCTGCAATGGCAATCAGCATGCTGAAAATGGCGAATGCGAACCGATGTCGCAGCCTGTCCGACAAGGTCGCAATGAGCAGAGAGAAGCCGAATGCGGCGGCCCACGGTGGGACGCTGCGCAGCTGGGTTTCGATGGGCCCGTAGTGGAAGGTCGAGATGATCGTGGGGGCAAAGTAGGCGTAGCCGTAGGCGGGGACAATGAGGCCAAAGTACATGAAGCCGCCGGCGATGATCTTCCAGTCCTTGAAGACGTTCAACGCGTCCTTGACCGTCATGGATCGCGTAGCACCTGAGCCGGTGCCCTGGTCGACGCGCAGCCGTGCTGCCACATACGTTCGCTCATCCTCCTTCAGCCACTTTGCTTCCTCGGGGAAGTCGGGCAGCAGGAAGAAGAAGAAAAAGCTGACAAGGACGGTGAGGCCGCCCTCGATCAGGAAGATCCAGCGCCAGCCGCTGTAGCCCCGCATGCCGTCCATCTTGCCGATGGCGGCGGCCAGGAGACCACCAAAGGCGCCGGCGAGTGTCGTGCTGTTGAAGAAGAAGGAGTAGCGTCGCTGGGCTTCGGACCGCTTATACCACATGCCGATGAGATAGAAGGCTAGCGAGGATCACCTTGTTAGCTCGGTGGACCCATACAGTCACTCGCGCGTAAGGCTAGGTATGCATCAAGGAATTCGAAGACTCACCTCCTGGAAACATGCCCGTCTCGAAGAGGCCGAGGAAGAAGCGCGTGGCAAGCAGGCCGCTGTAGTTCTTGACCAGGCCTTGCATCATGGTGGTGAAGCCGAAGAGGAACATGTTGAGGGAAAGCCAGACGTGGGGCTTGAACTTCTTGAGCAGGATGTTGGACGGCACCTCGAAGATGCAGTAGGGCACGAAGAAGATGACCAGCGCCGTGTTGTACTTGTCGCCGGTTCCGAGGTCCAGGTCCGTAGCCAAGCCAAACAGCTTTGCATTCGCAATGTTGACACGGTCTGGGTGATGGTAAAAAGGATTAGCCATGATAATCGCGACAAGTCAGCAAACGACGGCACATGCGAGTCAACTTACCCAAGAACGCAAGCAGATACATGATGCAGAGAAACGGCACCACTCGCATGTCGACCTTTGCCATCAAGCGGCGCTCAGTCGTGTGCGGCGGGCAAACGACCTCCTCGGCGGCAATGGCAACTTCAGTATCGCGAACATCGGTCGAAGGGCGACCTGAGCCGCTGTGCTTCTCGTCTAAAACAGCCATTGTGTCTGTCTGGTGTAGGCTGAAGCGCGTAGTGCGCTTGTTGCTTGTTGCTTGTTCAAGCAAGAACTGGCTTACACCGAGCCTTGACCAGAATCTCTATCCCGCTTCACACGAGAGACGGAAGACAAATGGGTTTTCCCTTTCAGAAAGCTCAGAGAACAAGGGCAAAGCCCACGTGAACTAGTGGAGGGAGAGGAAGCACAGGCTTCGGCGCGGTGTTGGCAGGACGGAGAGACAAGCGAGTGGGAACACAAAAGGGATCTGCCGGACCCTATTTGTACTCAGCTGCAAGGTGCTCGTGCATCCTGATGCCCCAGGATGCTTCATTCAGTTCCATTGACGCTGCTCGAGGCTAATACAAGTCGAGAAGCTAGTGGACAGCCACTGGGATCGTCCAACAAGCGAGCGGCGGGAGCCACCACGTCCAATTCTCCATCAAGAGCAACTTGGCCATGCGGTGCCGGACCGGTGGTGGCGGGCCACGGACTTTGGCCTGACAACCTACAGCACAAGCGCAAGGGCAGCCGCTGGTACTTTGTAAGACCGACTCTGAGCCCAGCCCATCCCAGCCCATCTGGTTGCCGTTGTCGCCATCCGGGGTCTTCCCCCTTCTCCAATCAGAGCAGTGGCATTGGGCCAGCTGCGCTTTGCTGCAACAGTCGAAGGGCATCTGGCCATCCCACAGATCGTGGCGTCGTGTGGATCCGTCTCCTCGCCCTCCGCTGCCCAGATATTACCATCCCCACGCAAGAGTCGCTCGAGACTCGCCCACTGCCGACTTGCTGCAGCAGCAATCCTTTGTGTGTGGGGAAGACGTGACGAGCGGATGCGTTGAGGCGCCTCGGATTGGAAGCCGGTCTGAGCTGAGGCGGTCACTCCTGGAGAAGCAGCTGTCTGCAGGCTCCGTTCAGGGTTAGGACCAAGGGCATCCATGTCGACATTGAAGAGCTCGAGAGACTTATTACTCGCTTGCAATCATTCTTCATCAACAACCCCAAGCGTGGAGCCATCGAAATTTCCCGAGGCATCTTCTGTCATTGGACCTCTGCATCAAGGGCCGGCCGAGAAGGCCCAAGAGATTCCCCGCATCGCGCCACTTGCAAAAAGGATCCCTGGAAGCCTCTCCCAGGAAGTCGTCATGCTTCCATTCGCCCCAGATTCCCCGGGTCTTGGCTCCCACATCGGGGTTAACGGGCTTCAACAGGGTGCTGACGCCGCCGTTTAGCAGCTCGTAGAGCCTCTCTAGCCTTCCTAGCCCTGGGTCTAGCAGCAGAGCATCCCTCCAGCATTTGCAACCAGAGTTCTCTCCGCACTCTGCTAGTATTGGGGAACTTGGAGAAAGAAAGCCATCGAAGGCCTGGGGAATCATTCCCCCGGATTCTCCCACAAGGTTTCTCTGGGGCTAGCGGCGTCCCTCCGCAGGTCACGATGCGAAATCAATAACTCCAATCCATTGTATGGAGGGCGTTTGCCGCGGGGCGTTCCGTACAGGTAAACGGTGCTCGTACGTTCTGCTGTCATGGCATCGAAGCTGTCAAGTGGCGACTCGTGCTCTCTTGCGGTCCGCCTTGTGGATGAACCCCAGATTGGCTCAAACTCAAAGCGAACAAAGGACACGATTGTTGGTGCAAGTGCAACTTCGCTTCGAGATGTGCCCCAGAATCTTGCCTCCCCGCGTCTCCACCCCCGTCTTTGCACGAGTCAAACATCGCTGGATCTTGGAATCCGCCTCGGGACCTGCAAGAAACGCAGACACAGGCAAGATTCAGACGCCGTGGTTGCAGCCCTTAACAAGCAGCACGTGGGAATGACGCTTGATCGCAGGCACTCTTCTGACTTGAGCTGACCTGAATTGTCTTCGTATGGGCGATAGTAGCAGCAGTAGTAGCAGCGTCAAGACCCAATGATAGTCACCTGCTGTTTGCTGTAGAAGCCGAGCAGCGGGTCGGTCTCTATTTCAGCCGCCTCTCCAATGACATACACGGGAGACTGTGGGTTCCAGAAGGTCGCTTCTATCATTGTCTCCGTTGCCGTGTTTAGGTCCCGGCCGATGCCAGAGGCGGACCGGTGAACGCCATATCCGACCATCTAGAGTTTCGATAAGAGTTCAGAGGCTAGTTGCGGCTCTGAGCACCGACCCAAGCCGGATCGTGGAGAGATATCGTCGATTCGAATAGTCATAGAGAGTAGTAATATCCAGGAGTAACCCAATGACTTAATCCCGAAAGCCTTTGCCAGCAATCCATGGCCTGAGATAGTTGCCAAGCTGACCGGGGGGGAGAGACGAGGTGTTTCCGCTGTTGATCAAGAATTCTATTACGGTAGGCAGCCAGAAGAATAGGAGACAGCTCGGGACCTCCATGTTCAGGGGCAGCAGGAGGACGAAGTGGTAGAGGTTGCGGACCAGAAGAAGAATGCGAGAGGGAGGAGGGAAAAGGAAGAGAGAGGCCTAAAGAGGGAGGCGGTGGCAGAAGACGGAAAGAGGGAAAGAGGTAGGAGCAAGTGTCAAGATGGCTGACGGCTGCTGAGCCACACATGCAGATGCTCTTCTCTTCTCCAAACGGCGGTGTCTCGATATCCGCCATCTTCCCTCGCCAGTCACAGCGCCGCAGCGGCAGCAGTGCTATGGAAGCCCTATCATGCAGCCGTCCTCCTTCTTCTACACGACGGGATGCCGATACCCGCCCCAGCCAAAGTGACAGCTGCAGCAGAGTCTCACAGAATGGACCACATCTTTCTACTCGGGCGAGCCCTGACTGGAGAACCATGGAGACAGCTGGAATACGATGCACAAGGCTGGAGACTGACGGACAGGTGTTGACAGCTGCTGCCACTGCTGGATCAGCTGGCCTGGCGATGGCCTCCCGCCGGATGCCTGAGGTGGACGCGTTTCAGGGCTAGGGCTCGCGTTTGCCGCTGTCAACGTTTTCCAACGCCAATTCCTCAGCTCTGCAAAACATGCAGCTTCACGCCTGATATCCCGCGCCCAGATTGCCGGTGCGCGAACTCAGCCTTGTGCCGCCCCTCGATTCACCGGCCGACACACGGCAAACGCAGACACAACATCAGCGGCCTCAACCCGACGGCTCGACCCTGCGCGTCTCTGCATCCACCACCCCCCGTTTCCGTTCTGTTTCTTCCATCTCGTCTTCCATCGTCCGATTCTTCCATCCTTCTTCCACCCACCCTTCTCCCTACCATCTACTACTTAAAGTCCCTGCCCCTTTTGGCACTCTCATAGGTCCCTGGTGGTTATTCTTTCACTGATGCCTGCCAAGACTGCTTGATTCAGCGGCAACAGACGGAACCACAAAGTCAGGAGAGGACGGGAAGACACAACAGATGAGACGAGAGGAACAGTTGCAAGCCATGGACGCCAGAGAACCCATCTACAGACTGCCTCCTTCTGACGGCGAGAGGCCATTCATGGAGGCCTACAATGCTAGAGAAAGTGTGGTGGCAACGAGCCTCTCTCCTCTCTACCCACGCGATGTCAACGGCGGTCCATCGACCAGTTGGTACGAGCATCGCCCCCCATTTGTCCCTGACAACGCGACTCTCCATGGCACTCAGTCGTCTCCAATCATCAAGGAGCAATATGAAGACCGGTTCCCTTTGTGAGTACCTGCTCGTCCTCTAGGAGCCTCATCTGACAACCAGAGACGACGGGATGCTGACACTATTGATGACGTCTAGCGCAATGGCCGAAAACTCTCACCACAGCGCCTGGTCTCCCAATCCGACCGCAGGGCCAGCCTGGTATCCTTCAGAACCCTCTCCCAGCCTGCTGCTCAACGGCGAATACGATGGCGCCCCAGGACCCTTCACCGCATACGGCACTGACAACGTGAACAGCGAATACGAAGCCCAGCTTCCCTGGCCAGAGTCAGACCCCTTTGCTTCAGACTCCAATATGGAGGAAGTAAATCCGTTTCAGGAAACCTACTATACTTCGAATGGGCTAGATGGGAACCCTCACACCGTTTGTGACCCAGCCATGACCCTTCATCCTCTCACAGCGGGAGCGGCAGGTGTCACACCGGGCAGTTTGGCCCAGCAGCCGGTAGTGTTTGAAACATCACCCGGCTTTGTTTCCTTCAGAAGATACAGCAGGCAAGGGGCTCCAGAAGGGCCAGTGATGCCAATGCGTGAAGCAGAAGGGCCAGTTCCAGCATCCATGGGGCTTACAGCTCCAGGCCAGTCGTCGTTGAACACCTCATCTCCACTCTCTGTCATCTCACCTCCACCGTCTGCGACCTCATCCTCTCGCAAACGCAACACCGCGGTAGCCGACCTCGAAAAGAGCCCTGTCGCCCCCAAGAAGAGAGTCATCAAGCCCCAGCTGACGGCAAAGGTCGACAACAGCGAGGACTTTGAGATTCAAAAGGACAGCGAGATGGCCCCTACCGGCGTCTATCAGGGATACTTTCAGAACTGGGACGTAGCTAGACAGAAGCTCCAGCGGCTCCTTGAGCTGTACCGAAAGCCCAAGGAGAACTGCAGTTACCCGTCCAACGATGAGACCTTTCCCGTTACCGATGAAGACAAGATCGGCTACATCAAAAACCTTTTCGACGCCATCAACGACTGGTCAAATTTTAGAGAATGGTCGCAAGCTCTGAAGACGGAAGATCGAAACCGCATCATTGATCGTTTGCGACGCAGGCACGCCGGGAGTGACAATGCTGAAGTGGACATTTCGTTGGATGACATGAGACCCAGCCAGCAGGAGCTCGAGGCCCTTCTCCCGCCTCTCCAGGCGCAGCAAAAGAAGATCTTGGGCCGCTTGCTCAGCGACCAGACGGTCGAATGGCTCTGTTGGGAGCTCATTGTAAGTTGACATGTTGTCTCTGGAAGCTCTCCCGCCAGCTTGGGCAGTTGTAGATGAGGGAGCGGGAAACGCGCTGACCTTACTTGTGATTCAGGAGGCTGCTATCCAGTCCCAGCAAGGGAAGACTCAGATAGCGCACTGGTGCGGCGCCGACGGAGCTTAGGAGGCTTACGACTCGTTTGCGCAGCGCGTAGAGGCGATGTGTTACGCTTTGCGGGTGAGTCGAGTCGCAGCAGATGACGCGTTCCGTGGCTAATCGCGTTCTCTTTCTTCGTTCTAGAGGTCCAAACAGCTCGTCAAGTCGCTCCTATCTGCGGGCGATGGCTGGAAACTCCGCATTGCCAACAACCCCCAAGGAGAACTTGGAGTGAGTTTCATCCGGCTCCTTATTGACCCATCTGCGGCCGGCTACTAACGAGCATTCACGCAAACAGCACAAGGGCAACAACATGAAGGTGAACATGAACAAGAACCGAAAGCTCCGGCAGATCACCCAGGGCAGTCGCACCACCACGCGACAGAAACCCGCCGCAAAGCCGACCCCGAAACCAACACCTAAGCAGTCGCAGAAACAGGCACAGAAGCAAGCACAGAAGTGACGGCTACGAAACGAAGCATGATGCGGACTGAGAATAACGCCACCGACTTGCTCATTCTTGCTTTAGGGGGAAAGAGGAGACTTGTGAATCATAGTCCTCTGCTCCTCACTACCTTCCTCCCCTTTCTTCATGCATTTGCACATCGACACGAAACGGACATATAGACCAACACCAACACTTTAGAGGAGCGTTGATTCCACCCTATACCAAGTACATACGACCGAGTCTTTCTCCTTTTGCTCTTTGGCATCGATTTCTTGTCCAGTTTGTTTCTTCCTTGGTTGGCTTTCATTCTGTTCTTTGCTACCGGTGGTCTCCACTTCATTTCCAGGTTTGCGATACTCAGATTGTCTTTCAGGGGTCATTTCCCAGGATAAGGTTTTCCCTCTTCGGATTTTTTTCAGATTATGCTTTTCTGGTATTGTCATAATGACTGTGAGGGACAGGAAGATCCGTGGCTTTGTGTGGCTGGATTCTGTATGAGTTGGGAACGAGCATGTATGTCATCTTCGCAAAGGGGTGTTGCCCTTGAGGCCTTTAGTGGTTGTATCAATGACACAAAGTACTTGATTCATGGAGCTCTCACGTAATTTTATCACTTGGTAGGGATGCTTCTGTGCGGGAACTTGATATGTAAGTTGATATACAATCATTAACATTATATACTCTATCGGGGTATCCAAACGCTTCAACGCAACTCTCCTCTAATCTTCTTCACACAACCGTCACTTCAAAGACCTGGTCGTAAAGTAACTCCTCTCCCAGCCGTCAATCTCATCGACCACAGTCTCCTCGACAAGCTCATACTTGCCAATCCAGGGCAGAATCTTGGCCCAGAGCAGCCAGTAGACGGCACCGGCGAACAGCACGCCAAAGCCGACGACGCAGTGGATCCAGTAAGGAAGAGACTCGTACACGCTCTGGCCGTCCTCGGGGGGCACGAAGGGGGCGACGACGAGGTAGATGTTGCTGAGGAGGAAGAAGATGATGACGGGGTAGGTGGCCTTGATCGGGGGGTTCCAGTTCCAGGCGGCGCGGTTGCGGTAGAGGTGGACGAGGGCGCCGGCGACGAAGACGTTGATGATGGCGAGGGGGTAGGAGATGAGGCTGGCGAAGTCGTCAGTATCTTTAATGATGCTTCATTTTGTATATACATGTGTGTGTGTGTATGATATGAAAAAGAGTTCTACTTACTTGAGGACAAAGTTGTAGGCGTCACCGGCAGGAGGAGCAAGGACGGTAATCATGGTGATGAGCCAGTGCTCAAACAGACCGGCCAGGGGAGCGTTGAAGGGCCGGTTGCTCGCCCAGAGGCGCGAAAAGGGCAGCACGCCCTCGCGGCCGAGCTCCTGGACGAGACGGCCCTGGGAGAAGATGACGCTCATGACGTTTCCAAACGCGGAGAGCGCCACGAAGACGGAGAGGGCCCTCTCGGCGCGCTCGCCAAACATGTTGCGGAAGAGCGAGGCGGCGACGAGCCTCTTGGCCTCGAGGATCTCGGACTTTGAGACGCCGGCGAAGTAGGAGACGTTTGCGAGCATGTAGAGGATGGTGACGGAGCCGACGGCAAGGGGCGCGGCGATCTTGAGGGTGCGGGTCGGGTTCTTTGTCTCGCTGAGGGCGTAGTTTGCGTTGCTGTAGCCGACGAAGCTCCAGATGACGTTGTAGAGGGATGTGACGACGCCGTAGGCGCTGCCGGTGGTGCCCTCGAAGGCGTTGTGCAGGCAGTTGATCTCCTTGACCTTTTTGATGTTGGCCAGGGGCGCGATGATGACGATAATGACGATGCAGATCTTAATGACGCCGAGGACGTTCTGCAGGCGCAGGCCCCATTTGAGGGCGGTGCCGTGGATGAGGAACGCGGTGGTGATGCAGGCGACGGCGATGCCGCGCTGGTTCCAGTCGGTGACCTCGACGCGGGCGGCGTTGAGGATGTACTCGCCAAAGACGACCGAGTTGCCGGCGGCCCAGCCGAGCAGGATCACGTAGGTGGTGTACATGCCGGTGACGAGGAAGCGCGGCCGGCGGTAGACGTACTCGAGGTAGTTCTTCTCGCCGCCGTTCTTGGGCAGGCCCGTGCCGAACTCCATGTAGACGGCGGTGCCGGCCCAGGCGATGATGCTGCCGGCGACCCAGAGGAAGAGGGAGAGGCCCGTGCTGCCGGAGAGGGCGAGGATGGAGCCGGGCGTGGCGAAGATGCCGGTGCCGATGATGCGGTTGAAGATGAGCATGGAGGCGGAGGGGACGCCGATTTGGCGCTTGGCCTCGCGGGCTTGCTGGAACTGGGCTGTTTTGAGAAACAGACCGTTAGCATGATTGTTCTTCATGGAGTGAAGTGAGAAATGAGTGAAAAAACGTACATTCAGTTCCATTCTGGACAGAGGCGGCGTCGCTGCCGGGCTGTTGGCTCAGCTTTGTGACATCTTCGCTGGCGGAGGGCTTGAACAAGCTCTTGATGCCGGACATTGTGAAGGTTGTGTCTTTTTTTCTGCCCACACAGCAACTGCTGTGATTCGAAAGGAACTAGGACAGATGATTATGGAAGAAAGGCCCAACAACGAAAAGACCGAAACAGATTTATTCACCAAAGAACCAAAGGAAGAAGAAGAGGGAGAAAAGTGAAGGGATCGCCTTCTATTATAGACTTATACGACTACGGACGACCAGGTCCATTGGCGGGTGGATCACCCGGCAGAGGGCAAAAGGTTCAAGGCTAGAACGACGCCAGAACGAAAGAGGCTTATTGGAAGGGAAATGGCTTGAACAAGGCAAAAAAGCAAGAGATGCTAACATCAGACTCATACAGAGAGACAAGAGAGACTTGACAGAAGAGAGAAAAGCTTGTTCCTTGGGCGGGGCTGGCCCGCATGGTGCCATCGGATGCTAAACGAACGCAAAAGAGACCCTCCCCTTTTCTTAGGTAACAAGTGGTGTGGTGGTGATGTTGGAACAAGGCTTTCGAGGAAGTTGGTGGTTTGATGCTTGTTCTTTTTTGGTTGGGGGGACGGGAAAGGGCTTGCATGAGGCGCTGGGTTGTGGCACGCCATGGAAGGACTGTAGAACTTGGATTTACTTGAGATGATTTTGTTCTATTTTTTCTTTCTGCACATTTTCTTCTTGCAACTTCTTTGGTGATGGAGTTTCGTTTTGTACATACGAATACGTCTCTGGGCTTATACCCCAGGAGAGGAGCGGGCTTCATGAGTCGCGGACTAGCAATGGAGGCGGCGAGTAAGTTGCCTCTCCATGGTGATACATGCTAGTAGTACTCTCAAAGATACACGTACCTTCAAAAGTAGTAGTAGTATGTAAATCAGAAATGAATACTAAACATGAAGCTGAATATGGTGCCATCGCAACCATCATCACACAAACAGGGTGTGTTCCGCGCTTTCAACAGTTAGAAGCCGATGCTATCCATCATCACTCACGCCCTTCACATGTAAAGAGTATTAGTATCAACAAGCATCGTCTAAAGTAACTAAAACCCCCTGGAATCCTTCTGGAATATCACCCGCCTCACCACCATCAAGCAAAGCTGCTGCGATGTTTGAAAAAAAATTGAAAATTTATATAGAAGCCCCACAACCAGCGCCGGACCAAGCAATCACGACATCGGGGCCTTTCCCGATTCTGTCGCGCCCGGACCGGCCGTGGGCCGATGACGCGATCGGAGCTTCTCCAATCACGGACGGAAAGACCCTCTTTTGCCGTTACGCGGATGGCAAAAAATCATATCGTTGGACAAGTTTTTTCTTTCTGAGCATGGAGGTTTCTACGAGGGTAAGGTACTATTATTTGCTGACTTCTTTTGCGCCCTATAGGCGGCAATGCGAGAAACAAGGGTATAAGGGAGGGACGCTACGGAGGTTATTCTGGTGGCGCTGAAGAAGCTTAAGTTGCAGCTGTACAGGCCAGAAGCCGATATAGAAGCACAAGAGAAGAGACAGCTCGACCAAAGACTCTGAGCTAATGTGCATGTGCATGTACCGTAGAGCTGGAAGCTCCATGAACAAGTACTTCCATCACAGCGTCTCATTGGCAGTGGGAAGTCATGCCAGGAACAAGAACCGGGCCGGCAATGCGGAATCCGGGATGACCTTCCTGGACCATAAAAAGACACACCGAGTGGATGCTCTAGACCTTGCTCAAGGCTTAGCCCGTCCGTCGCCACGATTTCCCTTACGTGATGGATAGAAACCTCCACGTCCGACCACTACGTACTCCGTATACTAACGTCTTACAATCCATTACTACTCGACACGTACGAACAAGCGCAATCAGGGGCCGCGCCCATGGGGGAGCATGACGCCTCTCCGAGCGAAAGGCCATGGGGGATAATGCCTCGCTCTGCTGGGTATCAGCGTGGGAGTCTCGTGCTATCGATGTGGCATGGCATGGCATGACTCGATCAGCTCAACGGCCCGGAAGCTTGGCTGGAGCTGCTGAGGTTCAAGTGCTCACTTTGAGGCTTGGCTTGGTAGATAGCAAGATGTTGCCAAAGGTCTGGACTTGCTACTTCGAATGGCCTCATATGGTGGCTTGCTTGCGTTGAAGTGTCGAATGACACGGCCATGTGTATCATGAGCGACTATCTACCTCCAAGTTCGAGTCTAGAATGGAATCAAGTATCTCGTCTCTATATCAACTTGGTGACATCAAAAGGCCGCTTCAACATCAATAGTGTGATTAAGTTAATAATATTAAATATGTATGCTGTATACTAGTACTACCTACGGCGCAGGCAGAGCGTCGTATTGGTAAACCCACCGAACCCGGGACCTTCCTTTTCATTATCATAAAGAACGTCGTTGATCATCAAAAATTCAAGCCTTGTCGACAAGCCATGCCCAACCCAGAAACAACCCCCGTAATCCTCACAGTGGGCTGTCACGCCCAAACACACCAGCTCCTACTATTCGTGTCGATGAATCCCCTTCAGAATCAAGTGACGAACAGACCTGTCCCCATGCGGAGGAACCGAGGTGCCGTTTCTGTTCTACAGCACAGCACTCATCTCGTCAATCTTCGCAGGGACCGTCACCTTGCCGCAGCTAACCGTCCGCTGGGAGTAGATGTTACCAGGCGTCCAGTTCGGGTTCTGCCACGTGGTGTCGCTGCAGTTGAGGTCCAGCTTGACGCCGCCCAGCGCCGTGAAGCGACTACCCTCGCCGGCGCAGGCCCACGTCTGGTTGACGAGCAGCTGGTTGTCGCCCCGGGAAAAGGTGAACGTGGCCTTGTCGCCGGGCACATCCACGTGCGTGCACTTGTAGACAAAGTTGCCGTAGAAAAAGTCCGAGAGCTGGTCCGACGAGGCGCTGCACACGGGCGTGTACGTGACGGCCCGGTTGGACAGGGTGAAGTTGACGTAGCCCCACGAGTTCTGGTGGGCGGGCGTGGTGAAGGTGTACGAGGCGTGGAAGTCAAAGTTGTTGATTGTCCACTCGGAGACGTTGGAAGACTGGCTCGTGCATGGTGGTAAGTAGGGGTTGGTGGTGGGCGGAGGGTTGTAGGGCGCGGCCAGGGCCGAGCTGGCGAGGAAGAGGGCGCAAGATGATAGAATGCTCAGCATGTTGGGTATCATGTGTGTTGAGTGTGTGTGCTGTTGTTGTTGTTGTTGTTGTTGTTGGATATGCTGAAGTTGTCCTTGAACGATAGTATATTGGAGCAAGAAATAGTAGTATTACCGTCGAAGCAGCAAAGACAGACGGTGGACGGAAGGATGTCTGGGAAGAAGAAGTCGTGAGTTTGTGAGTGGGTGTTGATGCTCTTTAGATGCTGCCCTTGCGTCCGTGGATCGTGGCTCCCTCTTATACAGCAACCGAGCAATGGCTGGGTAACGATGGCCCTCCGATCACGTCCGGGCAAGCTCGACTGGCGATGCACAAGAGGCTGAGGTTCAGCACCGGGCCCAGCCATTCCACATGACGTAGCACACATCTCGTATTCCCGTCGTTTGCGCGGAGAAAAGAAGGAGTAGAGAATCGGGGTGGCGGATCGAGGCTTGGCTTGGAGCCGTCGGCAGACAGCGCTGTATGTAGCCTGTACGAGGCGTTTGCTGCTGGAATGCGGCAGATCGTAGGTTCCGTGTACCGGGTCATGTCTGCTGGTAGCAACCAAGGTTGGGTATCAGAACCTTGGAACACAATGTGACGGTGGCATGTCAACGTTGCCTGGGAGATGCAGATGCAGCTGTAAGGAGGCAGATGCAGGGTCGTCAAGGTCCTCGTACGAGTACGTACACTCAATTGGGCGCCGGCAATTGATGGCAGCTCCAGCGAGAGTCACCGCCTGAAGGGATCGCTGGGCTAGTGCCAGCGGCCAATTAGCGGCAGGCGGGCGCTAACGAGGGTGGAGAGCTGCGGTGATCGACAGCCAGCGACCTCGTATTTCTGGGCCTCGATGTAACTCTCCCGACTGCACTGGACAGCGTCGCATCGCCCGTTGCTCTGCTCCCTCCCTCTCTTCTATTTTCATCTGCTGCAGAGCATGGCATCGTGAAGAAAATGCCAGCAACGGGTCATTGTCTGCAGGCAGAGACATACAGCAGAGAATACCTCTACGGCTTGTACCACCTCGTGTCCCTTGTGCTGATGTCAGGTCATGTGAATGATTTCTTAGGTCAATATCAGTAACCACACCGAGGACCCCGACTTCCCGTACCTAACCCTTCCTCTACCAAGCCAGCACGAAAAGATGTTCTGAGACATTCAATTTATTCTGACTTGCATCTTTCGCCTTCTCTTCTTCCCTTCCGGTATCACATCGCCCTCGACGACTCACAATCTGCCTTTGTCGGAAATAGTATCAGAGAGACGGTTCGCCATCATCCCTGCCAAGGACGCAACGTATCGCGAGAGAGGACAAGCCTCAGCTGTTGATCCGGCCGGTTACCATCAGGGTCTCACTCCAACCAGCCATCTTTGCTGATATACCGGAAACCGAGGTTCAATTTTTATGCTTACTTGCCCTGGTCATGGTGACACTACGCAAAAACTCCAGCGAGTTCCGGTTGGCCCTCGAAACGGAGCAACAATGGATCCCCCCGTGCCCTTGCATTGCCACGCTCAAGGGTGGAACTCGCTCTGCAAAACTCGCTTTCCATACTTGATTTCGCAGCACAATCACAGAGCCCAAGTTGCGGACTTGTTCTGGCCGACGACAAGGAAAAACCGCCGAGCTCACGAGCTGCTGCCTGGTAATAAGGTGGCGCGGCACTCGTTCGACTCTTGTTGCGTTGCACATCAGCTCACACAGAGTAACACTTGTTGTATTTCGCATCTCTCCGATTCGGCAAACATCGAGCGGCCTCGATAGGGCCGCCAATGCCGTCCAGTCTCCATCGCCCCGGCACACTGGGGGCTCGGATACGTCATGCATGCTGTCGGAACGCTCCTCTGACACGGCAGAGCTGTGATTGGCACTGCAAACATGTGCCTGATCTACTCCTCTCCATGTCCGTCCGCAATACATGACAATACAAACCTGACCTGATGTTATGTAGTCGATTTACGGGCTCAGGGAGAGCCATCTGGAGCCCTCACAATCCATTGCAGTCATCTTGGTAAGACGTGCGGATCTTACAATTGTGCAATCTACCGGTCACTGCCTGTAGCCGGGAACCTCGTCCCACGACATGGTCGAGCCACAGCGGTTCACATATCAATTGTTGGGTTCTTCTGCGAGTTGGCTGCTTCTTTTCGTATGCCGTGCTCACCCACCGAAGACACCGAACGTGGCTGGTGTGATACGACCTTCAGCCGGTTCATTGACCGCTCTTACTGTGCAATCGTCCGGATGGACTCTACTGTGACCAGTCCTTGGGCCAGAGCGCAACCTTCAACAGTTGTGTAACTGTGTCTGTCGAGGCTTTGCCACTTACGTCTAGACTCGGAAATCTCCGTCACTATTCTCAGTCAATCTTGTTTCGATGATCTAGACGTGCAAAGGAAAGTTGCCCGAGTTCAGCGATATTAGTCCACAAAGGGTATTGCGAGAGAGCGCCAGCGCATGCCAATAGCCGATCAGAAGCAAGCTGTCATTGGTGGTCGCCGGTGAGCTGGTCAAATGTCTAGATACTGGGTTCCAGATTCGCTGGATACGATATAGCAGCCGGCGGCGTCATCAATGGTCTTGCACCACTGGGAAGACTGGGTCTGACGCCGTCTTTGGCTAATGATGCTCGTTCGAACCACAGTTGGCCATTCGGGATTGGCAGAGATGCCAATTCCCCTCATCGAAGGAAGTGCCTGCGGCGAGATGCCGTATGATGCTCGATCGCAAGACATCAGCTGATAGCTGGAACAACAGAGGGAATCAGCTACATGTGGCGTGTTCTTGCGATAGTCTCAACTTCCAGACTGGGTGTTATTGACGAGATTCCCTGTCAGCAAGATGCAAGGCCATCAGTATCAAGACTCGCCAGAGTATCCGCGCCCAGACTTCCAGCGCACTGGATCGCGCTGGCTGTCGCTCAACGGCCCCTGGGATTTTCTGTTTGATGATGACGACGTCGGCTTGAGCCTTCGATGGCACCAATCTGGTTTACCATCTCGGGTGGCCATCAAGCAGATGCGGAAGAGCGATGGAAGCAAGTCTGAAAGCGACACCATCACTCAGCGCATCGCCGCCGGGACCCAGAATCTTCTCAAAGACAATGTCTTTACACGGGATTCCTCTGCCAACGTCAACCACAAGTGTCCAATTGCCGTCCTTTTTGTCTTCCAGTGCCATGCGTCGGGCATCAACGAACGCGGCATTCACGAGGTGCTTTGGTATGAGCGTAACTTTTCAGACCTGCGCAACGAGGCCGAACGGCAAGATGGCCGTCGTCTGCTGCTGCGATTCGGCGCCGTGGATTACGAGGCGTCTGTTTGGGTCAACGGGAGCTTGGTCGGCACCCACCGGGGAGGCCACGTCCCGTTCCAGTTTGACGTGACGGATGCCCTGGATGCAGACACCCGTGACGTCCATCGGGTGACGGTCCGTGTCTTTGATTCCGCCCACGACCTGACTCAGCCGCGAGGGAAGCAATACTGGGGCGCCCAGCCGGAGAGCATCTTCTATACACCATCTGGAGGGATCTGGCAATCCGTATGGATCGAGGTTGTTCCCGCAGCCCGAATCGCCGACAGCAGCTTTGGGACAGTCATAAGGTCGAATAATATCCGCACAGGTGATGTGCACTCTAATATTGCAACCCAAGGTTTGCAGGCAGGTCATGATTACGCTGTCAAGGCAGAAGTTTGCTTTAGGGGCCAGCTAGTATCCAATTCTGCCGAAGTTGACATCAATGAAGGGTCATGCAGGCTCTCTTTGAGCGCTCGCCTGTCCAAAGACAATATATCTGCTGTTCGAGAGTCGGCACTGCGGGATACGCCACTGAGCGGCTCTTCCTGTTGGCGAGACGGCATTGCTCTCTGGTCACCGGAGCACCCTCAGCTGTATGACGTGACAATCAGGCTCTTCGATTCATATACCGGCGAGAAACTAGACCAAGTCCAAACAGCGACAGGATTGCGGTCACTACAGTGGTCTAGGGGCGACGGTCTGTGGCGACTGAACGACGCCCCTTACTTTCAGATGCTATGTCTGGACCAGGGCTACTGGCCAGACTCTTTCCTAACCCCTGGATCCAGCCACAGTCAGGAGAAGGACATTGAGTGTGCTAAAAAGATGGGCTTCAACGGCTGTCGAAAGCATCAAAAAGTCGAAGATCCGCGCTTCTACTACTGGGCAGATCGAAAGGGCTTCCTCGTCTGGGCCGAAATGGCAAACGCCTATCGGTTCAGCCGGGGCTATGTCGACCGTTTCACCCAGGAGTGGACGGAATCTGTCAGGCTGGCCATTAACCATCCGTCGGTGGTGACCTGGACGCCGGTGAATGAGAGCTGGGGGTATCCGTCGCTCAAGGACGATGCAGAGCAGCGCAATCACATACGCTCTCTCTATTACTTGACCAAGTGAGTGCTCGCCTTTCCTCTCTGACTGATGCTATAGGCAAGATTTGATATCAGACGCTCATGCCTTCTAGGACGCTGGATCCCACGCGGAGCATCAACGACAACTGCGGCTGGGAGCACGTCTGCACCGACCTCTCCACCTTTCATGATTACAGCGACGGTCCAGAACTGGAGAAGACGTGTGCCGACTTGGGTGCCATTCTCGGTCTCAAGGCTGGACGAGAATTATTCGTAGGCGAAATCGCCGGCGTTGACGAGGGCTCCCGCCACACCACGGGAGCGCCCATCATTTGTACCGAGTGCGGTGGCGTCAACATTGCCCCGGCCGACAAAGACGCCGTGGAAGACTCTCGGGATTGGGGCTACACCACTGCGGCGGACCCTGAAGACTTGTTGAAGAGGATCGAGAGGATTGTGAACGGTGTTGCGGGAGGGGGGTTGTGCTGTAGGTGCACCACTCGCATGTCGCTTTTTCCATGATTTGCCTGATGTTAATATAACTTTTAGGACGGACATTGAGCAGGAGACGAATGGGCTGTATACGTTTGATCGCAGGGAGAAGCTGGATTCTGACAAGGTCAAGGCGGTCATGCAGGAGGCGGCGCAGATGTTCTATAAGAGGGTTGAGAATGATGGCAAGCAAGCCTGATGAACGGGTTTGGCCAATGGCTGCCAGCGTAGAAAAGAACTGCAATACATATGAGTAGATGAAATCTATCAGAACGAGGATCTTATCTACTATTTGCATTGTTCACGCCGTCTTTTGTTGAATCTCCTGAAATACCCCAAATCTCATCTTCGTCCCGGGTAACATAGATTGAGCGAAGCACAACGAGAGCCACAGCAAGCTTAGCTCCCGTTATTGGTTGCTAGCGCAAAGAGTGGTAGCCCTATAAGGCTCAATGAATGCTACTAATTCCCAACAAGGGGATATGGTGTAGGGGTATCACGTTTGCTTTGCATTGTTCATTCAATACAAGCCTGTAAAAGGTCGGGGGTTCAAATCCCTCTGTCTCCACGTGTTCTTTCTTTTTTGCCTTTTTTTTGGCCCATGCATCCATCTCCTTTGTATGAATGCAGTGTTTCGATTCCTCTTACTTTTCATAGTCATTTTTATTAATCGGTTTTTTTTTTTTTTTTTTTTTTTTTTTTTTTTCTGGTCGGCACTCACCCAGCGTGTGACCCCTCTGCTCGAAAAAGTCGAAAAAGGTCTTGCGCACCTGCGCCTCGGGCCAGTTGTTTTCCATTCTCCCTCGGTTGCCAGATCATGCATTCCTGAGAGGCGACCATCCAGTTCTCGCGGATCCCGCTTTTCGATCGCATCGTGACGATGCGTTTCCGAAGGCTGATTTACTCGGTTTCTCTTACAGAGCGATGGTTCGGTGTTTGTTCTTGTTTTCGATGTAGTCTACCTACCCGACGCACCTTGGTCAGCGATGGAGTTTGATTTATTTGATAGCTTTTGTATTCATTCAAGCGAGTCTATTGCTCAAGATGGACCTTGCCGTTTTGGAACTTGATATGTAAAGTAGGATAATGGCAACAGAGCATCATACATTACATACCTCTCACCTCTGTAAAGCAACAGATGGCTAGCAGCCGGTATACCTCGACTCTTCTTTCAAGTAGCTTTGCAACCTTCTTTGCCGCTTTTACTTGCTGATCAAGGTCCAATAAAATACAAACTGTTCTTTTACATAGGTACTCAGCCCCTTCTACAAATCTAACATGCTAGATGGCTATTTCATTTCCTTCCTTCATCGCAGATCAGAGTCACCAATAACAGCGCCCAATCCACCATAAGATCCCAGCTCCGCCTCCGAGCTTTTGCCGCCCATGCAACACAACCTCAACCTCACCTTCGGAATCCCGTCACTCCGCGGGGAATCCTGACACATATTTCCAATTCCAACCCTCCGAACGTCCCGCGCAGCGAGGAAGAAAAGGGCGCCGAAGGTCGTCTCTTGCTGTATAAGCTCGCATATCCCCCCCGCCTCAGCTTGCTTTCGCATACTCGCTCGAGCTTCCTACAAGTTCCCTTAACCACAACACCAACTGCCCTCCAACGCAATCTTCAAGATGGACTACGTCGAGCACCGCATGAACGATGAGGCCCTCAAACAAGCCACCAAGTAACTCTCCCTCCTTCTTCCAACACCAAAGAAAAACCTCAGGAACTAACAAACCCTTCCAAAAAAGCGACAGCACCACCGGCCTCCTCTCCCCCCTCAACATCGCCCTCCTCGCCATCCTCCTCTACACAGCCTACACAACCTTCCTCTCCAAGCCGTCCTACCCAACCCTCCCGCGGCCCCCTCCCCCCATCGTGTTCAAGACGTACACCCCGCGCACGCTCCTCCCCTTCAACGGCGAGGACGGCAAGCCCGTCTTCCTCGCCGTCCGCGGCGCCGTCTTCGACGTTTCTCGGGGCCGCAACTTCTACGGCCCGGGCGGGCCCTACGAGAACTTCGCCGGCCGGGACGCCAGCCGCGGGCTCGCGTGCGGGAGCTTCGACGAGGACATGCTGACCAAGGACCTGGACGGCCCGCTGGACGCGCTGGCCGACCTGGGCGAGGAGGAGATGGAGGCGCTGAGGGGCTGGGAGGAGAGGTTCGGCGAGAAGTATGATGTGATTGGAAGGTTGGTTAGTGTGAGGGAGTTTGAGGAGATGAATAAGAAGGAGTGATTTTTCTTCTACAAATTCAAATTCTGGACAAAGGGTTTCATTGCTCTGCTATATAGCTGAGATGGGCGATCAAATACACAACTTGGATCCTGAATCTTGTTTATCCGACTGGCAGGTTATGATGCGCTTCGTGAAGAAGAAAAGTGATATTTGGTATGAAAACTGCGTGGTTTTGCTTTTCTTTTTTTTTTTCGCTCGATTGCAAAAGGAGGATACATACATACATACATACAGGTAAAACCCAAAACATTTCGATGCACGGGCGGACCTTGCAAGACTCCAATGCCATGCCATTTCTCAACACAAACGGGAAAAGGGATCTCACAATAACTTGCAAACAACAATGGATCTGGGAGATCCATGTATACAACACACCACCGCAAAATATCGCCAGCCCTCCTCAAAAAACCCCCTCCCCCCATCCATCATCTCCAGGTAAAAAAGCGCACACTCTCTGAGCAAGGAGAAACAAAATAAGCCATAGCCCCTTTGTATCAAAAAAAAAAAAAAAAAAAGAAAAAAGGAAACAGGCGCTGGTAAAGCAGTTCGCAGTGGGAGAGCAGAGAAGTATCAGTAGCAAAGCAGAATACCCTCCTCCGATATAAGCCCACCCATCGTCCTTCTAGAAAAACACATCTTATTTCCCTCCCAGCTTGACTCCCCAGCGGTCTCTCGTCGTGACAAAACAGAAATAAAAAATGGACAGGTGATTATGTACCTTTTGGCTGTGAGAAGTATCGTATATATATGTTAGATGTATTGTGACATTATGTCTGAGATGATAGGCGTGAACGTGGCCCTCAGGAAAGAAGAAGGGGGTATACGAGATGGGGGAATCGTTTCGTTAGAGCTCCAGAACAGCCGCCGCCTTCTTCATCAAGGACGCCGTCTTGGCAATGTACTTGTTGGCGTCGTCCCACGCCTCCGCATCGACGAGATCGCGGACGGCAGGGAAAAAGGCCTCGTCATAGCCCGACCACAGCTGCGGCCCGAAAACGACGTGCTTGAACTGCGTCCGGTTGGGAATCTGTACAACAACAAGCATCAGTAACCACCTCACCCCGATAAACATCATGAGCAGCAAGAACTTACACCGCCGCCAAGCTCCAGATCCAACAAGGCCGTCTCAAACGCGGCCATCTTGTCATTGTACTCAATCCTCGCCGTCCCCAGCTCCTTCGTCTCCCAGCCTCCGCTGCGAATCACCATCCGGTCCCACTCCATCTCCCACTTGGAAAACTGCTGCGCCTTGACCGACACCGTCGCCGCCGCGTCCTTGAGCTCCTCGAATTCGAGCACGCTTTTCTGCTTCTTGCCCTTCTTCTTCTTCTTCTCCTCTTCCTCCTTCTTCGCCCACGATTCCAGCTCCTGGACCCACGCCTCCAGGCTGCGTCCGTAGTTGACCATGTCAAAGGGCAGGATGGGCCGGTCCGCCAGATCGAGAATGATGAGGCCGACGACCTGCGCCAACAAACCGTGATACGTAAACCCGGGATCAATGACCTGCTCCATCAGCTCAAAGTTGTCGTAGCTGGAGTGGTAAGGGAACGGCTCCCCCTGGAACTCGAGATCCAGCGAGCTCGTCCCCGCAATGTCCTGAAAAGCGACGTAATCGCTGCCCGCTCCCAGGCCCTCGAGCTTGCTCCCATGACGGTCCCACAGATCTTTCAGGGTGGTGTTGAAGTTCGGATCAACGACCCGTTCCAAGGCGTGGAACAGGCTCTTGCGCAGGGGCGGCGAGCCGGCGGCGCGGAAGTCGGTGCCAGAGACGACAGTGTCCAGGTTGATGTAGGCGAATGCGTTGTCGCGCAGGGAATCCAGGTTCTTCTCGACAAACTCGGTCGACCCAATGAGGTTGTACTCCTCGGCGTCCCACGACATAAACTCAATCGACCGCAGAGGCCTCCAGCCGCGGTCCACCAGGTCGCCAAAGATGCGAGCCAGCTCAATCATGATGGCCGTGCCCGTATGCGGATCGGTCGCGCCAAACGCCCACGCATCTCGATGGTTGCCCAGGATGATGGACTTGGCAGACTGCTCCATGCCTATAATCTTGCCGTACACGTTCCAGATGGGCTGCTTCTCATTCTCATCTTGCTCATTCTGCAGACGAACGATGGGGGACGACGAGTTGCCGGTCCACCACTCGTCCACCTCGGGCACGCCGCCCCTCCATTCGATCGGTACCTTTTCCCCAAAGCCATGAAGGTTCTTGAGCAGGACTTGCGCGTCTCTCCACGAAAGCGGGAGACTGGGGATCTGTACCAGGCCGGGGGTTTCGTTGACCTTGAGGCGCGGCACCTCCTTCTTGCTCTCCCATCCCGGCGTCAGCACATCGCCAACCACCCAGCTCATCAGGCTGACGGCGCCTCTCTGGACGCCGTCCTCGGGCATGTACCGCCCGTTGGGGGCGACGTCGCCCTTGAGGAAGCCATCGTCCATGGGGTCGCTGTAGATGATGCATCCCGCAAAGCCCGCCAGCTCCGCCCCCTTGACCTTGAGCGCGCGGTCCGTCTGCGTGCCGTAGTATCGAACCAGGGCAATCGCCCCGGTAGCGTTGATGCCCATGTCCTTGATCCTCTGGTAATCTTCCCTGGATCCGTAGTTGGCGTATATCAACGGGCCCCGGACGTCGCCCGATTTGGAGTGCCCGTGGAACGCCGGAGTCTGTCGCCCGGCCGTCTCGCCACCGCGCTCAACCTCCTCCAGCGCGGCAGTCCAGACGGCGTAGTCTCCGGTCTCGTCCAGAATCTGCACGGTCCGGCCGTTCTCGCGGGGGTAGTTGAGGTAGACGTAGTAGTCGTCCATCTCGACAATGTCCAGGCCGGCCTTGTTGAACATGGACTGGACGTCGAGCGCGGTCGCGTAGTCGCCCTCGGTGCCGGCAATGTGGGCGTAGCTCGAGAAGATCTTGACAGCGGCGCGCATCCTCCGGGGATCCACGCTCTTCTGCAGGTGGACGCGCAGGTCCTCCGGGTCAAAGCGCATGCCGCCGTTGTTGACGCCGTTGGTCAGCCCCGTCAGCATGCCGCTGGCGAAGAGGAAGTACATGAAGCCGATGACGATGGCGAGCGCCAGCAGCCGCGCCACGGTGACAATCACCATCATGCTGTTGACCTTGGGGAAGGCGAAGTCGCGCATCCACGACCGCACGTTGTCGGGGTCCTCCCGATCGACCGCGGCCTCCTCGGCGGCCGTACTGCCGTCGGCGGGAGCTGCAGCAGACGGCCGCGACGGCAGCCGGATGCGAATCCGCGGCAGCCTGGGCCGCCACGACCACTTCCACGCCGGCAGTGACAGGTTGAAGCCTATCCTCTTGCCCCATAGCGAGCCTCCCACGCGGCTGGGCTCCTCAATCTCCAGCTCCTCCATCTCGCGGCGCACCTGGTTCGTCTCGTCGGCATCGCTGTCGCTGTCCCACAGGCTGTCCTCGTCGTCCGTTTCCACCGTCGGCGCCCGGTAGCCGTCGGGCCGTCTGCCGGAGCCCTGGCCATGGGCGCTGCCGTCGCCGGCTCGGGCCAGCAGGGATCGCGACTCGGTCTCGGTCGCGTTGCGCTCGTCGATGGCGTCTCGGGTGTGCGAGGGCGTCCAGCCGCGGCTGCTGCCGGCCAATGCCTCATCGTACGTCGGCGGCACCGGGTCGTAAAACGGCACCTTTTCCGAAGGCATGGTGGGCTGGGTGTGACAAGGCAGAAAGAAGACACAAGGGTATCGCCGTCGTCGTCGTCGTGTGCAAGCACGGTTGCGCAATCATCCGCGGAGGGTCGTTTCGTATAGAGATGGGATGGTTGGTATGGGAGAGCACGCGGCCATTCAGGTTCGAGTCGAGGGGCGGATGTTCGGTGTCTTTCTGTCCGTCGAGAAACACGGCCAAAGCGAGCTAAATAATCAAACGAATGTCGAGAAGATAAAAGAAGGAAGAGGGAAAAGGTAAGGGAGAGTAGAAACAGTCCAAAAACCCAAAGAGGCGAGTATCAAAAGAGGTGCGAAAGAAGAAGTTGACCAAACAAGAACCGACTTTCGACCGGCTGTGCCAAAGGAACTTGAAGCCCAAGTCGAAAAAAAGAAGCCTGCCGGAATTACCAGCGCCGCATAATTATCCAGAAAGGAACAGACAAAAAGGGCTGAATGACAGACGCAGCCGATTCTCAACAGTCCGTCTTGAGCTGTAGGATTCGGGGCGGGCAAGAAGAGGGAAGACCGGGGAGGAAAACGAGGCGAGTGGAATGCCTGGCTGACGACGAAAAGATAAGGGATGACGATGCTGCAGGACCGCTGGAAATAAGGCCGGGGGCTCCGCTTGGTGTCTCTGAGGTGCTCTAATGTTAGTGATGGCTGCACTGCCCGCTTTTTGGGTCGAGTGTCTGGACGAGCCTAATGCGGAGTACCTTATTTGGATGATGAATACGGGGCCATGAGAATGTCATGATAGTTGCCAACTCAAGCTGAAGAAGAAGAAGAAGAAGAATGAGCTGATGATGTTTTACTTGAATCTCATGCAGCATCAAATCGTCAATCCCTGGAGACCCCCTGGAGCACCTGAAGCCCGCCTCATCGTCTGGCCCCCCCCTATAAATTGCAAATCGCCTCCCCGACCCTTCACGTTCGAAACATGCCGGGTTGCATCAAAACCCGCCCCAGCTGCACCTCATTTGGCCAAGTTCTGGCTATTATTAACATCATTATCAACCAAGCACAAACGCGGACTCTGTTCTACCTACCTACCTGAATGATACTACAAATTCGCCCAGTTGAAGTGGAAAATTCGTGACTGAAAGTACACTTTGAGGCAGATGGGGATGATCTAATAGCGACTTGAAGCTTTATATAACGTTCATTGGACACCCCGACATTTCCCAGACATTCGGACCCCTGGGGAATCCAGCTCGCCTTGGGCCCGGATCCGCACAGACGCCAAATCTGCAGACCTGATCTGTAAGAGTGTATTAATGATACAACACATAGTACAGGCTAAGCCACGCTGAACTAGTAATCAAAAG